CGGCGAATGCAGAGAAGCCCAGGTCCACATGCTGCCGAGGCCCGCAGGGCTGACACATTCCTCCAGATGACTCCCGCTTCCCAGAAGAATGTCTTCGCTGGGCCTGCCAGCCGCCACCTGCCCAACTCACGTGCCCCCTGAGACCAGGATGAGAGAGTGACGAGGCTGGGCAGCGCCTGTTCTGGAAGCCCAGGCGCAGTGGGCCGACCCCGGCGTCAGGCTGCCGCCCGGTGCAGGCGCCCTCAGCAATCACCAGACGGTGCGGAGCCACGGCCTGCAGCCTGCACCCTGGGGGTGGTGGTGCCCAGGGAAAGAAAGAGTGCTTCTCGTGAGCGAGAAGAAACCACAAACCGAATCGCTGACACAGGCCGGGATTGGGGCATTGTCTCGCTTTGAAAGCCCCCAGATTTTATTTTGCTAAAGCTTGCAATTTCTTCCGTGTGTGAGTGGCACTTAAAATCTGTTTGTAATGGAACTTGATTGTATCCAGCTGTCACCAACTGTTCCCGTGCCGCCCGACAGACAGCTGGCCACGTGCCACGTGGTTCGGGCTCACTTCAAACAGAGGAGCGGAAAGCAAACAAGGGCGGGGGGGTGTCTCGGGGTCTGGCTCAGAGGAGGCGACGTCAGGGACAGCTGGTGCGAGGAGAATTTCTGAGGCAGTGCCACTGATGGGGGAGGGGACGGGGTGCGTTCTCTGAGCAGAGTCCAAAGCCACTGCCTCACACAGCTTTTCCAGTGCGCTCATTCAGCAAAGGTTTTCTGGGTGCCTGCGAGCACTGGGCTCTGTGGGGAGCACTGGGCTCTGCGGGGACTGTGGCCAGTGGTCCCTGCTGCCAGCGGGAGGTGTCCAACTGTGGTCAGACACCAGCAGACTAATGCCCGTAAAAGGGGAGAAAAGGGACGAAAAATGATTACGGATCATTTCTAATACCATAGGAGCAACACAAAGGTGCATCTCCGCAGGCCGAACAGCCAACACGGACGGCACAGGAGACACACTCATTCCACACGCAGCCGTGAGGAAGCCTGCGGTTATGGAGACGTGTGAGTTTCCTACACGCAGTTCCTAGCAGGTGCTTGGCCCGCTCTTGGGCTCTGTATGCTGACATCTGGGCCAGCCACGGTAAGAAGCCACCTAAACACGTACACCCTGCCGAAGGGACCGCCCTTCTGTGGCCGCGCTGCCTGCACAGACGCGATGGGTAGAAGGGCTGAGTCCCACCCCTCCGTCCAATGACCGTCCTGCGGAGGGAGACGGACAGGGGGAGCCCCCAGTGAACACAGGCGGCCCTGGCATCCGCGCGGGAATGAGGCGGTCACACTGGTGTCTGCGAGCCGCAGAAGCCGTGCGGCCGACCCGAGCGTTCACAGCTAAATCGTGGCGGTCCCCGACAGGAGCGCAGGCCTTCGCCCCCAGTCTGGCCCTCTGTCTCCAGTAGGTCCTGACCCCGGCCGGCCGAACTCCGCCTTCTTCCTTGTGCAGCGGAACAGCAGGCCACGGCTTCTCGAGGAAGCCGCCGCCCAAGCAGAGGCTGTGTCCAGAGCAAACACGTTCCTCACCCCGGCACCGGGCCAGGGCCTCTGTCCTCCGCTCCTGGTGCCTCCCAAGGGTGGCAGGACACTGCCTATGGCTGCCCAGAGGCCTTTGGGGGCGTTCACAACAGGAGAGGCAGAGGGGTCCACCTCGCCAAATGCCACCGGCTGTGCACGGACAGGCGCTGGGGAAGCTGACATCAGGGCACGCTTTGATTAGAGCTTCCTGTCTTCACAGATGGTCCAGGTGCCGGGACAGCGGAGCGGAGAGCAGGGTCACCGGGGGTTAGAGAGCCAGTGAGAAGGCTGCTCAAACCCAGGACAACCGAGAGCCAGGTGGTGGGGCAGGCAGACCGGGGACTTCGAGAGAGCCGGGTAGAAAGACGGGACCCTCATCACTCACGTGTGGGAGTCCCAGCCACAGAGGGACACAAGGAGCAGGACACAGGGCCAGGCGGACACACAGAGACACCAAGCAGGCCATGCATTGGCCAGGGGGACACGTTGACGGGTCAGCAGGGGACACTGATGGGCCTTGCCTGCCTCTGCATGTCCTTGGGGCCACGGGTTAAATATTTAGAGACACACAGAGATCAGAGCCCTTCTGGGATGGGCGTGAACTGTGCCACATCCTGAAGAACGTTCAGGCCCACGCCCATCAGATCTGGGACTCGGGTCACGGGGTGGAGTGACGAGGGGGGAGGGGAGCTGAGGAAGCTGCGGCAGGAGCACCCTGAAGCTGACCTGAGGGACAGGGTGGCTGGGAGGGGACGCAAAAACAAGGTGCTTTTTCAGGGTGGCAGACACTCAAACTGACTCACGAGGGAAGACAGGGTCACCCCTGTGCAAGGCCCCCCAAGGAAGAGGGCCAAGAGCTCAGGTGAGGGGACCAGCCCGACAGGGGCTGCCTCTTCCGCGTCTACAGGGGAGGTCCCCACCCAGAGCTGAGAGGGGTAATCTGTACATTGGATGTCCTTCCCAAGTGCCCGCCCCCTCTGACCGCTCCCTGTAAGTGACACCCCAGCAGCGGCAGGGTCTCCACCCACTGGGAACACGTTAGAAATGCACATTCCTGGGCCCTGCCGGGCCTGCTGAGTCAAATGTCTGGGAGTGGGTGGAGCCCAGCGTGGGCTGAGGGACAGGCCAGCGAAGGGGACTGGCCGCAAGGTCCCCAAGCTCAAGGGAAACCCACAACGCCGAGGACCGACCAAGTGCCAGCTCCGTCTCCCCCGCAGCCACCAAGGAGAGGGCCACTGCCTGTCCACCCCGTCCCACCCGCGTCCCGCCTACTCGGGGCTGTCCTGGCCTCCCTCCCTGCACCTCCAGCCTTTAACTGAAGGTCATGTCTCTGCTACAGGGGCCCCGACCTGGGGCCCGGAGCTAGATGAAGGCCCAGCTGGCTCTCTGGGTGTCCAGACTCCTGGACTTCTGTGTTCTAAGGATTTTATTTATTTTTAGTGAGAGGGGAGGGGAGGGAGACAGGGAAACAGCAATGTGGGAGAGGTATGTTGACCTTGTCACCCCCCTTGACTACCATGCATGCCCCCCCACCGGGGACCTGGCCCACAGCGCAGGCATGTGCCCTGACTGGGAATCGAACCAGCAACCCTTTGGTCCACAGGCTGGCACTCAGTCCACTGAGCCACGCCAGCCAGGGCTGGGCTTTTTCTTCATCAGAAACTGGGAGCTCACAGCCACCTGCTGCTCACGCCTGCAGTTCTGCCCGGGTTCCCTGTCTGACGTAACAGGAACCGCCTCGGGCGAGGCTGCATCACTGCCCTGGAATCCGAACCCATCGCACGCCCAGTGCCCCCCCTGACACCAAAGGCCCGTCACCAGCCTCCGGTGCTGCTGGGCCCCGCCACTCAAGCCCTGCCCGGGCCAGAAGCCGCCCCACCCAGCCCTGACCTTTCCCGTCCCGCCTGCTCCCCCCTGGCCCCTCCATGGTGCCTCCACGGCTGCGCCAGTGCCAGTGGTGCCTGTCGCGGCTGCGGCCTGGAACGCGTGGCCGCCGGCCGGTTTGACAGGTCACCCTCACCTGGCTTCTCCGCTGCACCACCACCTCCCGAGCCTTCCCGCACGCCACCACGGGCCTCACACCGAAGAGCAAATCAGCCCGAACAGCCCTGCCGAAAACTTGCTGCATCTCCACAGAGGCTGAGTGATGTGGTCCGAGCCAAATTATCGACCAAAACACGCCCGTCTGTGCCTCCGCTCTGGCGACAGACAGGGCCACTCTGGTGAGCCTGGGCTGCCTGGTGCCCACCTGCAGCTCTGTTCTCCTCAAAGCCTCACCTCAGCCCCGCGGCCACACCCGAGAGCAGGTCCCGGCTTGGAGACCATGGGCCACCTGGGAGAAACTTGGCGTAGGCCCCCTGCATCTGTACGCTGTCCCAGCACTTCGGAAAACCAGTGACACTAAGAGCTATGGTCGTGCTTGGGTGATGCCGGCCAGATGCAGGACCCTGCCCCTACGCACAGGGTCTCGGAACCCCAGCCCACCCCGGCCCCACCCAATTGGGACAGGCGTCTGGACTGCGGCCGCTGCAAACCTGTCCCTGCTGCGCCGGGCACTGCTCTGGATGGGGCCCTGTGCCTCACACAGCACCTGCTCACTTTGCTGTCCTCCTTTTGAGCTGTCTGGTCACACCCTCGGTGACAAAGAAGAGTCCCTATATCTGAGGGTGGGGGGCCACTGGCGGGAAGGAGCCACAGGACTGGGGCAATGGGACTGCCAGTGTCACTGTCATGTGTCACCCACTCGTGCGTGCTGTTCCTCTGGTCCCAGCCAGACCCTGACCTCCCCGTCCCCCTCGGCGGAGACGGCCGTGCTGGACCAGAGCAGCTAGCTCCACGTGAGTCCCAGTTGGGTCCCTGCGTGGCTAGAACATTCCAGTCCGCACAGAAACCAAGGCGTCTCCGCCTGCCTGGAGCCCCAAGTGGCTGGGCTGCCCTCGAAGGTCAGAGGGGACAGGTGGGCGCGGGGCAGGAGGGGCCGTGTCACTCTGGCCAACCGTGAGGGACACGTGCAGCTTTGAGAAACCTGTTATTTCTCCCTTGTCTCTGCCTGCAGAGATCGAAACAGGTTTCGGCAGAAGGAAATCCAAGCGCACCTCGGTGGAGCAACACTGCTCGTTCCCCCAGCACGGCACACGCCGCAACCAGCTCCACCTGCTGAACGCCCCCCCTCCCTGCTGCACCACACGCCCTAACCCAGGGACCTGTCTCCTTGAACTTCAGCGAGTGTGTTATTCACACAGTTGAACAAATCTCCTTCCACTCTATCAACTCAAAGCCGCTTAAGCTTTCCCACTGGAGAGCCGAGGGCGCCCTCCCCTGCCCCATCACCGGTGGCCACGGGCCGTGCAGAAGCCCACTGGACACTGCAACCGGGGAGGGCAGTTCGGGGCTGGCGTGCACCTTTCTAAAAACCAGAGGAAAAGAACCAAAGACACAGGCAGGACTCACAAAAACTCGGTACTTTACTGCACCGAGATCTTGGCCACAGCGGGGGCTGCTCAGCCCCCGAGCGAAGGCGCGGAGCACAGGGGCCTGCACACAGTGGCGGGTGAGGTGACAGCTGACACGGGGAGGAGGCCCCTCCCACAGGCCTGGCCCCCACTCTGAGCTGAAAGTTAGATGAAACCCAGACCACGAGTTGACCAAGTCACCACGATCGTAAAAGCTGCAGTTGTTCACACGTGTGTTCACGTGTGTCTGTGTCGCCCACGTCGCGACTGGGTCTCTGGGCCCACCCTGTCCTGTCCCTGTGGCTGACGATGACGTGGGAGGGGCGGGCCCGCTTCTGACGGCTGTAAAGGCTGTGGAAAGCCAAGGCTGGGGCGGGACACGGCCCACAGGATGACGACACACTTCCTCAGGAAAAGGTTTCACAATGACGTGGCCGAGGAGGAAGGGACTGGTTCCCAGGAGGACGGGGAAACATGGGGGGAGGTGCCGGTCTAGGAGACAGCAGGACTTTTCCCTGCTCCTCCTCCCCACCTTTTCAGAAAGAGCTGCTCCCATGAAAAAGTGAACACGCCTCCCGTATAAAATATGTGACACTTTCTCAATACCACTGGAGACCCCGCAGCGAGGGCAAGGCTGTGGGGAGGGTGCCAGGCCACACCAGGGCACCGGGCGGCCTCAGGCTGAGGAGGATGGTCCACCCGGCCCACGGCCCAGCACCATGCACGACGTGCCCCAAGGAAGGGAGAGGGGACAGAAGCCGAGGGTTTCCCATAATTGTTCATTTGCAAGTTCACAGGCAAGGCTCACCAGACAGGGAGGTGCTGCCCTGGGGTTACACAGCTGCTTGAATTCAAAAGCACAACCGGGTGCACGAGGCCGGCCTCCGAGCGGGGGAAAGGGGGCACGCTGCCGACGGGCTCCGCGGGCTCGGTCGGCGTGACGGGTTCGTGTGAAGCAGTGAGGGAGGAGTCCACCCCAACACCCCCACCCGGATAAAGACCCTCGGCCTCCGTGGCTGCAGGGGAGGTTCGGGAAAGGCCCCCAGAGCAAGCAGCGGCCAGGTGAGCAGATGCGTGGCATGGCGGTTCGAGGTCCCGGCCCGCCCCAAACAGGAGCCTGCTCCCAGGACAGAGCCCTGCTCCCCGCAAGGGACAGAGGCGCTGTCAGGCCCGGCTTGGGCTGGGTTTCCGCGGGGGGACAGGTAAGGCATACAGACAGGGCCCTGCCGAGGGGACAGGGAGGGCAGCAGCGCCAGCTACCAGGAGCAGAGTTAGGTCGCCATCCTCCCCGGCTCTCCCCCACAGCCCGGACCAGACGCCCCGTCCAGGCGCTCCGCAGCGCTGCCGCTGGCCCCACAGGTGGCTGTGTGCTTTGTCACTGGCGTGCCGTGCCACCGGGGTCCTGACCGCAGGGGCTGGGGCCTCCGTGTGCGTCCTTCTGCAGCAGCGCCCAGCGCGGGGCAATCGGAGACCCAGCCGTGGAGTCCACAGCAGGGACGGCTCCCGGGAACGGAGGCCCGTCTCCACGAGTCTGTGGGGAAAACAGTGCTCCTGAGAAAGGACACCGGGGCGTCCCTGCACCCAGCCTCCCTGCCACCCACCAGAGGGTCACGTGGGGCCTCGGACGGAGCTGGAAACCCCGCATTTGCGCTTGGTGAGCGACCGCTGTGCGTGCGCTCCGCACCCCGGGTCACCCGCGTGCACACACGCACTCACATCTCGAACTGACCGGCCTGGGCAGCAGCAGCTCAGCGGCGGTAGCTGAGGCTGGCAGCCTTGGCTGGGTGAGTCACAGACCAAAAGTTCCGTCTGTTCTGAAGCTTCTGGAAGGCATTGAAGTTTCTCTTCTTCTCTCTCTTGAACTTCTTAATTTTCTTTTCCTACATTGAGAATCGCAGGTGTCACAAACACCACAAAGGGCTACTGTGTGCAACAAGACTCACCCCTCATGTGGCCTGTGGGAGCCCTGCGAGCCCCATATCACTGATGAAGGGGTGACCAGAGACCTAGGCGCTGCCCATGACCATGCAGCCCATGGACTCGGCCACCAGGCTCCAGTCTGGCCCTCGGCCCCTCCCAACTCCCCGAAAGGCCGAGTCCCCCCGCCCCGGGCTCCCCAGGGTGCTGACAGGCAGCCACAGTCAGACCCACCTTCCCGCGGTCGAACTCCTCGTCCCAGCTGTCGGTCACGGCGGAGGCGCGGGCCAGCCTGCTGTCTCGAATGGCGTCCAGACTGACGGCCGACACCGCCCCGTTCCAGGTCAGCACTGCAAGACGCAGGTGCGTCGGCCCCCGGGCGTCCTGCCACCCCGCCCACCTTCCCGTCTTTGCAACGGTAGAATGTACCCGGGAGACAGCAGTCAGTAAACCACGCAGGTTTTGAGCGTGCGATTCTGCAAGCCGCCATCTGCCTACTGTGCTGTGTGCCCGCCGCCCAAAGTCGCAGCTCCTGTCACCCTTGACGTGCCCACGTGCCCACATTCCTCGCCCCCCATGACGTGTACTTTGTTTAAACCCATGCCCTCACTTGAGAAACAAAGACCTCTTGTTCTCTCTCGGGGCTTCGCCCCCCACCCTGCCCCTGCCAGCAAGGTGTGCAGTCTGCGCTCTCCCACCCTGGGCCCCGGGGGAAGCCCCTCGGGACCTTTCTGCAGACAGACCCCCGGTGCCACTCCAGACCCTGCGAGGCAGCCGAGGGGCAGAGACCACTCAGCCCTCCCTTCTGCCTGTGAGGCGCCGGGCTCGCACCCACCTCCTCAAACCCCCACACCCAGCACGCCCAAGGTCCAGTTTCCAAACGCACCTTTCTTCCCGTAGGCCTGGTCCGACGAGCACCGGAGCAGCTCCCGGAGCACGTCGCCGCTGTGCTCTTCTTGGTGGCAGGACACTAGGGGGGCCCTTCGCAGCCCTGCGAGCAGAGGCACTTGGATGTGCACCGAGGCCCCACCAGGAAAGACCCACCCCTGCACTCGGAGCGGCCCCCACAGGTCATGGGGACAGCTGCCTGGACACAGGCTGGACGGCTGGCTCCCCGGCCCCACGATGGGCTGGGCCCTCGGGTCCCTGGGAGGTGACAGTCCGCAGCACCTGCCTCTCGAAAGTGCCGAGCTGCTCGCAGCCCCGCCCCCTGCACCCCCCCAATGCACAAACCTGCGAGGTCCCCGGGGCCCCTCTGCCTCTCATCGCCCCTGCTGTCCGGGTGCTCCTCTTCTGCTGCTTCCTGCTGAGATTCCGGCCTCCCTTTCCTCCTTTTCTTTCTCCTCGGAGACGCTGCAGTGGTCTCCGGCTCAGGGCCCTCCGAGGGAGCGCAGCTCCTGGGGGGTCAGCGTGGACCGTCAGTTCCCAGAGAAACGAGGGTGAGACTCCCTCCTCCCCCAAACGCAGGGGTATCCGCCCTGCAGTCACCCCACAAAGTGCCACCCTGAGCCTGGTCTTCTGGGCGAGGCCTGCCGGTCGGCCGTCCAGGCCACAGCCAAGCATAAGGACGCTGGAGCCCCTGGCGGAGGAGAGTCCTGCAGACTGAGTGATGCAACCACCCAGCCAGTGGGCCGGGGTCGGCGACCACCCACCCACAGTGCCAGTCGGCGAGGAGGGCTGCCGCCCACCTGGGCCTGAGCAGGGCCTTGTTGGTGGGAAGGCGGGGCTGTCTCGCTCCTTGCTCTCACCTGGGCTGAGGTGGGTGCTGGTGAAGGCAGGCTCGGCTGCCAGCAGCCTGCACTCCCTTCCGCCGCCTCTTCTTGCTGGAGTGGGGGCTGTCTGTCCTATGTTCCGCTTGCCAGCCGTTCACAGGGCCCTGGCCATTCACTCGCTGCTGTCCACCCTCTCCCTCCAGTCTCTCCGCAGGCGGCTCTGCCCAACACTCCTTCCTGGGCTCGGGGCTCCAGTGCTGCCCCTTCAGCGGGGGATGGGCGTCCGAGTCCTCTGGGCGCTTCCTCTTCCTCCTCTTCCTCTTCCCAGGAGGGGCCACCGCTGCCTTCCCAATCTCTGAACCCTGCCCCTGAATCTCTCCCAGGAGAGTCCGTTTCTTCTTCGAGAAGCCCTGGGGGGACTCGCTGGCCCCTGGCAGCTGGTGTGGAGCGGCCTGGAAGCCCCCGTTGACCTGAGGCAGGGGAGCAGCGGTGGGCGTCCCGAGAGGCTCAGGGCTGCTGGGCAGTGTCGCAGAGAGGGGGCCGAGGGGTGGCTTCAGATGGCTGGGTGACCTGGGAGCAGGTGGAACAGGCCTGTGAGGACGGTCAGGCAGTGGGGACAGCCATTCTGAAACACAGTCAGCCCTCGGTCCCCGCCCTCCAGCTGAGGTCTCCCTGGCGAACCTCAGAAGACAGGCGAACAACACAGTTCAGGGTTACTAAACGTCAAGGTGAACGGACGTCACGGCACACCTCTTACTTTCTCTTCACTGGGCTGTTCTACATATTTATGCAGACTCTGTTTTTAAGTTTCAATACCAATATGTCAAAAGGGAAAAGCTTTGCTGAGCAATGAATTTCCGACCCCCAAACCTCGGGACAGTCGGGCACGGGCAGGGAGCCCAGGCCTGCACACCGTCAGCTGTGGCTGTGTCCCAAAATGCCACGTCCAGGAGAACCGGGGAGACCCATTGCACAGGCGGGCACACAGCCAGACGAGTGAGGGGCGGCGGCCCCCGTCTTGCTCACAGTGGGACCCAGGAAAGGCTAACTTCCCAGCCTGCGATCTCCTCACCTGTCAGTGACCAGCCACAACGCCTGTCTCACAAGATCACCAAGTAAACAGCGTCATTATCGTCACCGTCTAAACCAGAACAAACTGTGGTGGCCACACAGACTGCACTGTGTCTTGCTATCCGGTGCTTTCTGGGGTCAAAAGTCAAAGTCTAAATACCCAATAAATGCCTTAAGTATTTCCGCGATGTGCAAAAATACCGTGCTAGAGGCCTGGCTGGAAGGGCTCAGTGCACCGAGCACTGACTGGCCTGCAAATCTAGAAGTCGCTGGTTCGATTCCCAGTCAGGGCACATGCCAGGGTTGTGGGGCCAGGTCCCCATAGGGGGCCCCTGAAAGAGGCCAATGTTTCTCTCCCTTTCTTTTTCCCTCACTTCCCATCTCTCTAAAAATAGATTAAAAAAAAAACCTCTCCTGTGCTAGAAAGAGCAGTGTGAGCCGAGGCAAGGGCATGCGGCCAGATCGCGCCTCCAGGTGGGGCGCACACAAGTGCCCAGGGCCCACACCAACCTCACCGAACAACCTCGCGCCTCCTGCCCCCTCCCCCCCTCCCCCCCACCATTCCCGGCTGCCCGAGGCCCCCAGCGGTCAGACAGCTGACAGCCTTTCACCCGCGATTCTCTGCCTCCTCCACTGCACACGCCGGGACAAAGGGGAGCACTGCCGGGTCCACCAGGCCAGGAGGGACCTGGACGCCCAGGGAGGGCGTCCACTGGGGGCCGGAGCTCCGGCAGCACCACAGAACTGCACCCCTGCTCGAGATGCCAGCTCGAAGCAGCCGGTGCCAGGGATGGTCCCCACCTGAGACAGACCCCGCCCCACTCAGGGATGCACCGGGGCTCAAAGGCCTCAGAGCCCAGCGGGGTTCTATCTGGAGCTCCCGCTCTTCTCTCCGACGGGCCCTGTCGGGGTGGGGACACAGGACGGTTCCACTCCCAGCACACCGGTCAGCACACGTGTGCAGCAGGCAGACGGAAAAGGAAGACGGAAGGACAAAACCCAGGACCGAGGAGAACACACCGCCTCTGAGCAGCTGGCGGTCCCTGACCAGGCGGAGCCCGAGAGCCGGGCGCACACAGCCCTGTGCCTGTCCAGCGGCCTTCTGGGGAGCGACCGCGCTGGCACCACGGGGAGAGAGAGGCGCCGGCCCCCGGGGCCCAAGCCCCCGCTTACCTGCTGGGACCGGCAGGCCGGGTGCACACAACGGCGGGGTGAGTGGCTTTCCTGGGGTGGGTGAAGTCGGAGGGCGGTGGGAAGGGGGGTGTGCGGCGGTCAGTGCTGGGGGCCCTCCGCAGGGTGCTGGCCTGCAGTTATTGACACAAATAAAAACTTGGTGGTCTAAAAGAGGTTGCCGTGAGGAGGGGAAACAAACGAAAAATAAATGAATAAAATAAACAAATGAAAGAGTCCAAAAAGCAGGATGAGGGCAGAGAAGGAGAAAAAGGGGGGAGTGAGGGGTGGGGATGGTAGAGGAAGAAGAACCAGAAGTGTTTTTGGTTAGAAACAAAACGGAAAAGAGGAAGGAAGCTCCAACAAAACCCGAGCACGTCCCACCGTGGAGCTCTGCGCCGCACACGGGGGCTGTGGCCGGGTCCTGAGGACGCCCCAGGCCTGGCGCTCCCCACGGGGCCCGCCCCACCCCGGGCCCGCACTCTGCCGGTCCTCGTTTCCTCCACAGACGGGGGGAGGCCTGCTGCCCACCCCGCACCCCGTCAGTGTCCCCGCACACGCGGTGACAGCAGGAACTCGAGGGCCCTGAGCTGCCCCGCTGCCCCAGGAAGACCCAAACAGCCCGCCCCTCCAGATCCAGGGGCCCGGTGTCCCGCTCCCCAATCCACAGCCTCCCGACACAAGGGGAGGCAAGACGCGCCCACACCCACCTTCTTGGCAGAAAGAGCCAGTTTCTTGGCTGGCGGAGGAGACGTGGTGCTGGCGGGCTCCATGGCGGCGTTGCTCAGGACGGGGGACCGCGGCTTCACCACCTTCGCGTCGTCCCCGGTCGGCTGTGCCCTGGGGGGGCCGGCCATGGGGGTCCTTCCCTGAGAATCACAGAGGCGGGCAGCCCCGCTCCGGGGGGCCGAGGGGGGCCGGGGAGGGTCACTGCCGGCCGAGCGCTCGGGGCTGGAACTGCTGGAGTCCCCTGTGTCAAGGGCGGTGGCCCCGAGCCTGTGCCCATTGACAGGGGCCGTGGCCGGCAGCTTGGGCGAGGTAGAGAGGCCGGCGCCCCTGCTGTCCCAGGAGCTCGGCCTGTGGCCGTCGTGCCTGCCGCTGCTCTGGGCACCGGCACCGTGGAGCCCCTGAGAAGTCCTGAGGGGCGGGGAGCGGTGGGGCTGCAGGGGAGCCAACTTCTTGACCTTCTTTCCAGGCTCATCCAGAATGGTTGGCTGGGGTGTGGGTGTTTTGGGAAGTCGGGGAGAAGGGGACCCCGAGGGCGGCTTTGGAGGAACGTGTCCATTCTGAGCCTTCGGGCCCGACAGGGTCCCCTTCCTGGACACGGGCACACCCGTCTCTTCCGTGGTCTGCGGCTTCCTCATGGTCGCCAGGTCCGGTCTCTGAAAGGCAGCAAAGCAGGGGAGGTGGTGGGACCCTGGCGTTCTCCGGGCAGGAGCGTGTCGAGCGCAGGGACACTCAGGGGCACGCAGGATGACAGTGACACTTCTCTGAACTACTTTCCTTACGGTGCGCACCTCCCTGTAAGTGTGCGCCTTTATCATCGTCACCTTTACTATGAGAGCGGAGTGTTTCCATCAGGGTCCGAGAAATACAAAAACGCGTAAAGAAACAAAAATCACGCAGGTTCCATCATTGGAGCGTAACCACTGACGAACAAACTGGCATGTTCTTTCCTTCCAGGGTCTGGCCACATGGGGCACCAGCCGGTCTCACCCGAGCCCCATGTGACGCCCTCGGTCACTGCCAACCGCAGGGCCTGCCTGCTCCCGTCTCATGGTACCAAGAACTCACTAAGCTCCCTCGCCAGCCGTCCCCGAAGTGAGCAGAACCACAGGGGGCGCCTTGTCCCCCCTTCACAGACTCACTGTAGCGGAGACAGACCTTCTAAGCCAGCAGCTCGATGTTCAAAGGCACCCCCTGCCCCTTCCCCACCCCTAGGCCCTATGCTTAAAAATTATTGTTTAAAGAGACAATCAAAAGACCAACTCATTCTTTTCCTTTTGAATCATCACTCCCGGTGATTTGCTAGGAATGGAACCACCGGGCTTGGCCAGCTGAGACCCGTGGCCGCACCCGCACTGGCCTTGCCCTGGCTCACCAGTGAGGGTTCCTTTCTCAAAACATCTGCCACGGGAACTGAATTTTGGCCCCCGTCCCCTCGGCACTGGTGTCCTCTGCACTGGCAACAGAGTGACTTTAAATCACTTGAATGAGCCCTTCCTGTCACTCGACACTTCGTCAGGAAAACTGAGCTCAGCTTTTTGTGGTAGAAAATGTCAAATACACACAAAAATAACCACAAGGGTATTTCCTAACTGCTGACATTTTGCCGCATTAGCATCTTCTCTTTCTCTCTCTCTACATATATATTTTCTAACCGTTTGAGTGGATTTTAGACACGATGCCTTTTCACCCGTAAGCGCATCTGGGGGTCTCCCTGAGAGTGAGGGCGTTCTCCTAACACAGCTGCGGCGTAACAACTAAATCGGGGGTCGGCACTGGTACAAACCACCCACGCTGGCAGTGTCGCAGTGTGAGGGCAGTCCTGGCAGGTGGCCCGGTGGGCTGGGGCGCCATCCCCTACCCCAGAAGGTTGGTTTGATCCCTGGGCAGGACACAGGCCTAGGCTGTGGGTTTGATCCTCTGTTGGGGCACCTACGGGCGGCAACCGATGGCGGTTTCTCTCTCTCTCTAAAAATCAACAAACGTGTTCTCGAGTGAAGATTTTTAATGAGGAGAGAGAAAAAAAGTGAGGATAAAACACTTTTTTGGGTGCTTGCTCAGCGAACCTATCGCTGTGCTTCTGCATGGCAGCTGGTCTGAGACGGGGACACACTGTGACTCAGTCTTGCTTTGCTGGGTCATCACTGCCCCCCTCCTGCTCAGCCAGGTTCTCTGATAACCAGCTTAAGAGAGAACAGGGAGCGAGCAGACGGTCTGCCTCTCCAACCCCCGAGAGGTCCCCCCACAGGGAGACCCGGGTCCCCACCCGCCCCGAGCGGCAAACCCGTCCCGTTGAAGAATTACCTTTGCAGTCAGTGGGGACGAGCCAGCCCCATTGCTCACGTTCTTCTTGCCGTGGTCCGGGAGGATGCCGGGGCGGCCAGCAAGGGCGGAGCCCGCCCTGGAGACGGGGCCCTCGGGGCCCTTCTTGGAGCCTGGAACCCTGCCCAGAGAGAACACGGCCGGGCTGCCTCACACAGCACACTGCGGAGTTGCCGTGAGAAGGGGTCGGAACAGACGACAGTCAAGGTTATAAGTCTGTTTAAAAAAAGGGCAGGTGGACTTCCGGCCAAGACGGAGGCGTAGGTGGAAACACTGTGCCTCCCTGCACAACCAAATTCAAGGACAACAAAGATTTAGAAACAAAAACACAACCAGAACAGACAGAAAATTGAACTGTACCAAAGTCCAACAACAATGAACCATTCATCCAGACTGGTAAGGGGTAGAGTCGGCAGCCAGTAGAGAGGGGTCTTGGCAGGAAGAGGCGGTGGTTGGTGACTGGGTGCCAGGAGGAATCGAGCAAACCCAGTGAGACAGGCAAGGCGGCTGGCTGACCTCGGACACACATTCGCACAGATAAACCAGGCAAAAAACAGGCAGCGAGAAAGACCGCACAACCCAGGACCCCAGGGCTGGGAAATAAACCCTAAGAGCACCGACTGAAAAAACTTTTGGGGGTTGAGGTGCCGGGAGAGACTCCCAGCCTCACAGGAGAGTCTGTTGGAGAGACCCACAGGGTCCTAGAACGTACACAAGCTCACCCACCCGGGAATCAGCACCAGAAGGGCCCAATTTGCTTGTGGGAAGTGGCAGAGGGGACTGAAATCTGAGAGAGAGTGAAACAAGCCCCATTGTTCCCTCTCTGACCCCATCCCCACATACAGAATCACAACCCAGCCACTGGGTTGCCCCGCCCCAGTGAACACCTAAGGCTCCGCCCCTCATACATAATAGGCGTGAACAGACCAAAAAATTATGGCTCAAATGGAAGAACAAATCAAAGCCCCAGAGCCAATACTTCTAAGTGACCAAGAGATAGCCAACCTATCAGATGCACAGTTCAAAATACTGATGATCAGGATGCTCACAGGAACTGGTTGATTTTGGTTGCAAATTACATGAAAAAATGAAGGCTACACTAAGAGAAATGAAGAAAATTGCACAGGGAACCAATAGTAATGGAAACCAAACTGGGACTCAAATCAATAGAGCGGACCAGAAGGAAGAAAGAAACAACCGAACAGGAAAGAATGAAAAAACAAGAATTCAAAAAAATGAGGAGAGACTTAGGAACCTCCAGGACATCTTTAAATGTTCCAACATCCGAATAAGGGTACCAGAAGGGGAAGAGGAAGAGCAACAAGTGGAAAAGTTATCTGTACAAATAATAAAGGAGAACTTCCCCAATCTGGCAAAGGAGATAGACTTCCAGGAAGTCCAGGAAGCTCAGAGGGTCCCAAAGAAGTTGGACCCAAGAAGGAACACACCAAGGCACATCATCATTACATTAGCCAAGATTAAAATGAAGGAGAGAATCCTGGAAGCAGCAAGAGATAAGGGGACAGTCACCTACAAAGGAGTTCCCATCAGACTGTCAGCAGATTTCTCAAAAGAGACCTTACAGGTAAGAAGGGGCTGGAAAGAAGTATTCCAAGTCATGATATCCAAAGACCTACAACCAAGATTGCTCTATCCAGTAAAGCTTTCATTTAGAATGGAAGGGCAGATAAAGTGCTTCTCAGATAAGATCAAATTCAAGGAGTTCACCATCACCAACCCCTTATTATATGAAATGTTAAAGGGACTTACCTAATAAAGAGAAGATAAAAAAGATGAACAGTGAAAGGACAGCAAACTCACAGTTATTAAGAACCACACCTAAAACGAAAGCAAACTAAGAGGACAGCTAGATCAGGAGCAGAGCCACAGAAATAGAGGTCACATGGAGGGTTAGCAACAGGGGAGTGGGAGGAAGAGAAGGGGGGAGAAGGTACAGAGAATAAGTAGCATAGATGGTAGGTAGAAAATAGACAGGGGGAGGGCAAGAGTGGTGTGGGAAATGTAGAAGCTAAAGAACTTATGACACATGGACATGAATTAAAGGGGGGGAATATGGAGGGAGGGGTTGTGCAGGGTGGAGGGGAATGAACGGGGGAATGGACAACTGTTAATGCCATAATCGATAAAATATATTTAAAAAAATAAGTAAGTAAATAAATAAAGGGTGGGGGTCGGCGAGAAACATAGCCAGAGAGAACCTTGACCTTCCTAACGTGCGCCTCTGAAACCCCACTCGACCCTCAAACCCGTGTGTGGCTGTCCCGCAGTGCGGTCATGGGCTCAGCTAAGCAGGGAGCAGATCGCAGTCGGAGCTTCCTGACCGGAGTCTCCGTTCCGTCGCCGGTGGGCCAGACGCACCTCACACGCTCCTCCAGAGTCAGCAGCAGGGGCGCAGAGTTGCAGAAAAGCCTCCAGTTTCCACGCTCTCCAGCCCCTGGGTCGGTGACGACCAGCCCCAAGAACAGGCACCTTCCAACCGGGCTCTGCTGCAGCCTCCCCGCAACCGAGCCGCCTCCCTGCCCCACCAGCGACTTCCCTGCCCACCGTGGGAGTGTTGGCCAGCCTGGGTCTCCGCTCTGGGGCACTAAGAGAACAGGTGACTTCCCCATTCCATTCACAGTCACCTCAATGGGGGGGGTTCTGTGGCTTTCACTCAACAGCCAGGACACCAGCCTCGCTCAGGGCTGGTGGGATGGGGAGGCCTGCCGGCCGGGCAGAGCGGAGGGGCGGGGCGGGGTGTACCTACCTCAGGTAGAAGAGCACGTAGGCCTGCTGGTTCAGGACCACCTTGATGTTGCTGGAATGCACCAGGGAGTCGTTCATCTGGTACCACTGCCCGTTGCTGGCCTGGAGCAGCGCAGGGTGTGGGGCGGACAGAACACACACCGAACGTTGTAGCGCCTCCTCAGAGAGGGAAGACGCACCTGCCGCTGACCACCACGCACACCCACGTGCTGGCTGACTGGCAACGACCCGCACGAAAACCTCTAACGTTTGTCCAGCCCCGACCGTGACCCCACGGTGTGCTCTGAGTGCCCTTCCACCCGGTGCCCGGGACCCGAGCTTTCCCTTCCGCGGGGCATTTCGGCCGCTCCGGTCAGCGGGGCGTCTCCCGCCAAGGCCCCCGCACCCGGCAGACCGCCCGCCAACCTCCCTGTGCCGCCGCACCGACCTTCACGTAGCAGTAGTAGTGCCCGGCGTGGCAGCTGTAGCCCGAGTGCACCAGGACGGCGTAGAGCCCGTACAGGACAGGCTCGCCACTGCTCTGCGACATGTATGGGCGGACGTTCAGGAATTCCGGATAGCCCACATCCTGCTCGAGAAGCCAAGCAGGCGGCGATCAACACCCACCCGCAGGCGGGAGGGCCTACCCGCCCCCTGTCCCCACTGGGGACAACGCCTGACGCAGGTGCCACCACCACCTGGGGCAACGGGGCATGGAGCCAGGTGGGGGGGCCTCCCCCAGGCCACACTGAGACCGGGGTGGACGGTGCCGTCTTCCTGAGCAAGGAGGTGACTGACTCCCCATCCTGCCTGCCTCGCCACAGGGCCAGCACCAGGCCCAGGGAGGAGGGGAGGGGCGCGGGTTCGGGTCCGCCAGAGCCAGGAGCCGGCGGCTGCAGCGAGTGACACTGTAGCCAGTGGACCAGAACACTGGTCACGCCAACTGATTTCAGAAACTGGCAGTCTTTCATGGGAAGGTATTTTTTTAATTATCTTTCAATAAACGACAGGCCAGAACCGCCTGCGCACCTGCCGATACACACGTAGGCTCCTTCCTTTTACAGCAGCGCAACTCACATAGTACGCGGTGCATGGCCCTGGGGTGCGCAGCGCGATGAGATTTCACACGCGTGTCCTGTGACCCACATTTCTACCGAGAGGAGCCATCGACCCAAAAAGTCCCTGCATCTCTCTCAGTGCCGACCTTGACCTTCCCGATCCGGCCTCTGCCGGCATGTGCTCGTCCTGCGGTCTGACCTTCAGCTGGCACGGTGCTCGCCCCGTGTCCGGCCTCTTTACACCCACACGGCGTCTGCGGCACTGACCGCTCATCGTTCCGCTGGCGCTGCCCGACTCCGAACCTCGGAAGCCAGGACACACCCTGGGCTTGCAGGCGAGCGCCGGGGGCCCAGGGCCAACACGCCGCGCTTCTCAAACTGCTCCGAGGGAAAACTGGTCCCCCACCAGCTCCTCGGGCAAGTCCAGGAGCCACTCACTCACTGTTGGGTGGGTGGGCTGTTCGCCACCCACCCCATGTGGCCAGCAGGGCAGAGCCAAGTGAGCTCATAACTACTAGGAAAATGAAAGACCGAATGACTTCCCAGACAACTAGTTTTAGACAATTCCTCGTAATAAATTCCCCTCCAGGAGCCAAAATGCTACAGAGCTTAGTAAAGGCTCTGAGAAGGCCTGCAATCAAAAAGAATCATTGGCATTTGCAAAACTCGGCCCAGCTGAGAACGCTCTTTTTCAAAGCATGGTGTCACCACTGCACGGAATGTTAGGGACATGCTGGTCAGGCCAGTCCCCCGCCACCAGCGCCACGGACCGTGTGACGGGCTCCAGCAACTGGGCACGGAGCCCTGGCCTGCTGTGCAGCAGGACGGACGTTACGATGCCACCGTGTGAGAGGTAAGCCGTGCTCCGCGTTCCCGGGGAGCTGTGTGAACGTGCCCGCCTCAGAGACTACCGGGCGTGGAGCACCAGAACCACACAGCCCCAAGTTCACTCTGTTTATTCCGTGTTTAAAAATGTTTTATTTGTTTATTCCTAGACAGTAAGAGAGGGAGAGAGAGAGGGAGAGAAACGTCCGTGTGTGGTTGCCTCTTGCGTGCGCTCTGACTGGGGACTGAGCCGACAACCCAGGCATGTGCCCGGACAGGGAATCGAACCTGTGACTTTTACTCTGCAGGATGACGCCCACCCCACTGAGCCACACCAGCCTGGGCCATCATACTGAAGGAAACCTGGACCTCCCAGGTCAGGAACACCCCAAGCACAGGCAGAGGTTGGGCACAAAAACCTAGTAAGACATGGTCCTTGAACCCGACTGTGTGTAGCAGTCATGTGGGGATTTTGCAGCCACGCAGCTCCCTCGGCGGACACCCACCTTGGTGATCTTGCCGCCGCTGAAGTTGGCGAAGCGCTTGAGGGACAGGGTCAGGACGTTGGAGGCCCTGTGGACGGTGAAGCGCTTGCTGGCGGGCACCTTCTTCTTGCACCTGAGAAGGGAGGGTGGGGGTGGCAGCCTGTGTCCAGGGGGCCATCCTCACACCACCGCAGGGCAGCCCCAGGTCGACTTAAATGACATGTGTGCCTCCCGCAGTCCCCGCTGCCGCAGGGGATGAAGGACACCCCCCAGCCGGGGGTGAGATGCATGAGCAGGGACTGGGGGCTAACGCGGGGGGTGAGAACAAGGGACAGCAGGGTGGCGGCGGGGCAGCCGGGCAAGGGGACGGACAGCTCCCAGGGTGCAGGGCGCGGGCGGGGGGCTAGGGCAGCGTGTGGGCGCCGCATGGTCAACCCAGGAGGCAGCACTAAGGAGCCTGGTCCTTGCGGCTTTCGAACGACCTACGTCCAGAGTGACCAGCACCCCCCACCGAGCTGCCCGACCCCCGACAGGGTGGGACCAGAGCTGCGTCTGCTGCAATGGGAACTGGCCGAGGAGACTCGGGAACCAGAGGCTGCGGAATGCGGTCACCTCAGTGGTGGTGGTATGCACGCCCCTCTGTGCCCCGATGTCCTCGGCCCAGGGCCTGCTCCATGCCTAGAATGGCCCCGGGAGCGCCGGGGAAGTGCTGGCCGCGGAGACCACGGCCAGCACCCCTCTGCGTCCTGGAGAGGCTTTCGGCTGGAAGGCGTGCACACGGAACAAAGCGCGAGCTGGCTCACCTCCGAGGGAGGTGGCCGGGAGCAGGGTCGGGTCAGGTGACTGTTTGGTTCTCTCGGGCCGCCCCGGTCTTTTGGCCACGGGCGAAATGAAACTTACTTGGCACACATGTAGGCGTTCTCCCCACTCAGGACGTCGGGCTTCACGAACAGCTCCAGCGCACGCACGATGTTCGCAGCTTGCTGAGGAGAGCGGAAGTGAGCGGCCGAGCACACGGCGGAAGGCAGGCGCCACCAGGCGGCCAGACGCGAGGCCCTTTTCAGGCCGACGCAGCAAATCACAGCACTTCACTCGTGTAAAAACCGGCCCTTGAGCTGCCGCCTTCCGGGACTCAAATCCCTTGCCCAGGAATGAATGGGGGAACCGGCTGCCCCCGGGGGGACGGTCCTCACTCCTCCCCACGGAAGAGGACCGCGGCAGGAGGCTGGGTCTGCCCTGAGCCTCAGGCTGCTGGGAGCTCTGCCGGCTACAGACACAACCCGGCCCCCATCGCGCCCCAGGACACTTGTTAAACGGGTGGGGGGAACGTGCACGGTAAAAGGCCGGAGAGAAGGATGCGACAACGGCCGTTCCCACTCAGACGCACGAGGGCTCTACGTATCTTTGCCCCGTCTGTTTGGATCCCCCGCCCTTGTGGGGGCCTGCGGTTTGGGGGTTCATGCCCCATCCCGGGCCTCACGCACACCCCACCGCGCTCCGTACCCGGATCTCCAGCGCCACATCCAGGTAGGGGTCGTAGGTGTCCGAGACGCTCTTGCACACCGAACACTTCACTGCCACGGGACAGAGAGGGGTGGGCGGCTGCAGCCAGCTCTGCCCGCCACCCCCAGTGTCCCTGGCTGCCGCCCCAGGGGTCAGAGTCCTAGAACTGGGAGGTCCTCTCAGCAGACAGCCCGGAGACCCCGGCACCCGGGCAGAGAGCTCACGGACCCCCAGAGTTCACAAGCAGATGCATATCAAACCCGGTGCCGCCCAGAGACGGGGCCCGGCCTGGCCGACCGTGGCCTCTGTGGACACACTGCCCAGTGAAGGACAAAGGTCCCACCTGAGGGACTGAGGGAGTCGGAGGACGAACCACGCGGCCCTCTCTCCACACACGCCTGATGCTTTGCTGCAAACTTCTCCCAGGAGTGGCGTGCCCGTCAGGCAAAGCACAGGGCCAGGACGCAGCCCAGCCCGGGCACCTGCTCTCAGCCCTCCCTGGTCAGCCTTTCGCCTGGGAAGCCCCCGCTTACCACGGGATCTCAGGTAGCCTCCGAAAATCTGATGGACCAGGGTAGTAGCCTGTGTCTGCCGGTCCAACCTGGGAAGAAGGCCACGAGCCTTCAGGTGAATGACAGGCCACGGCAAAGCACCCCACCCACGCCCCTCCATCTTGCCACTAGTTCAGCCTGGGCCTGGTGCACAGAGCCCGGGGCCTGGTGCGGGGCCCCCCACCACGGCCAGGAGCCTGGTGAGCTCAAGCTGAGTCTCAGCAGGAACCCCACACTGCTCTGAGCCACACAGCTCACTTCCCACAACTGCCCCCTGAGCCTCTGGGGTCTCCTCCATCCCTTCGCCCTGTCCACTCACTGGCCTCAGCCCTGAGGGTCACCTCCAACTCTTGACTGGCCATACCAGCCTCTTTTCTGGGATAAAATTCCCACAAGGATGCCCCTTTAGTAAGACAGCAGCGGTCCCAGGCGTGGGTTCAGGGTGGGGGATTTGCCTGCCTTTGAATCCCCTGGCCCGTTTACTAACTATAGGACACAGCGCACAGCCCCTGGACTCTGCTGCTCTTCGTGTGAGGAAGCTTCTGGAAGCAACACACCACAGCTGGCCTCTGCTCCTGGCTTCCACTTGCAGCCCACAGAACCCACCCACCTGGTTCCTCAGAGCCCCCAGAGCCCCAGGACACTGGTGCAGTCGGCTTTAGTGACTCCCCAGAGAGCGCTGCAGCAGCGCACAGGGTGGCCCACTCCCCGCCGGGACGAGCACCCCCCCCACTGGCACCTGCCCCTCTCTGCAGACCCCTCTGGGACTCCCTAGCCGGGGCTCCTCCCACCGTGCGTGCCGTCCGGAGGGCTCCACACCCACGGCGCACGCACGCACCACGGCCTCCCGCTGCCTGTGGAGCGTGCTGAGGACACTCGTCCCACCCTCTCTTCCAGCACACGTGACTGATGGCAGGGCTGCTAGACCCAGGGACCTCGCCCAGGAAACAACTCCAGAACACGTGGGGGTTGGGCGGAGTCCCCACATTCTCATTTGGCAAAGTCTGGAAATGAAAAATGAACAGCCACCACCTACTATTGCCACCACTCGCCACAAGGGACACTGAACTCCAGCAACTAGCAAGGCCATCAAGGCCACAAGCGGCCACAGGGCAGCCCCCGTGATGCAGCCGCCGCCAGGTCCCCCGACAAAGCGGGCTGGATGGAGCAAGAGTGCAGAGAGCCACCGAGCTCCCGCTCAGCACAGCCTGGCGCTGACGCTGTGTTGCTGGAAGCAGACGCTGGGGCCAGCTCCCAGCAAACCACCTTATGATCCCACAGCAGCCTCGGTGCAGGTCGAGGGCAGGTACAGAGAAAACCGAGCAAGGAGACACGGGACCAGAGGGGGCCCGACGCATTACAGCAAAGCCCCCGACGCTGGACCGAAGCCCACAGAGTGCGTGGCCCTGAGACTCTGGGCACCAGGACACAGCTGGGGAGGTGGCCTGGAGATGGTGGCTCTCAGGCAGAGGCAGGTGAACGGGCGGGCGGGCTCCCCAGGAAACTGGGTGGCGAAGGGCAAGAAAAGTGAAAGGGAACTCAGGCCTGAAAAGCCGTGAAAAGGCTCTGCCATCCAGCCTGCTGCCTCCACGATGGGGTGCACTTCCCCGGGCTGGCAGGAGGGGGCGCCCGGGCTAACAGCTGGGCCAGCCCCCAAATCCACCGGACAAATGAGAACAGCCTGAAAAACCAGAAGCAAACACCTCATTGGATGAAAGTCAGTCCCAGAAAACAAGCACAAAGCAGAAGAAACCCCAAGCTGAGGCTCGAGCATTTGGGGAGATGAAAAATAACCAAGAATAAAACATCTTAAAACTAGAAATAAAAGAAGTGAAAAAGAGAAAGTTAAACCTGGCTGGTGTGGCTCAGCGGACTGAGCACCGGCCTCTGAACCAGGGGGTCCCGGGTTCGATTACCACTCAGGGCACAGGCCTGGGTTGCGGGCCAGGTCCCGAGCTGGGGACCTGAGAGGCAACCATCCACTGCTTCTCTCCCCCTTTTTCTTCCTGCCTTCCCTTCTCTAATGATAAATAAATAAAATCTCCTTTCTAAAAAAAAAGAGAGAGAGAATTCATTGGACTCAGGAACACGGGGAGAAACAACCATCAGCTCAGACAGGAGGGCTGCAGCACCAGCTGCCCGGTGGGGAAGAGACCCCAGTAACAGCCCTGGGATGGGCTGTGGGGAGGTCGGCAGTGACCAGGCCCCGGCCGCTGCAGGACGGAACGCAGGTGCAGGCAGGCAGACGGTGAGGCCGGCGGCCTGGACGAGGTGGCTCGCCGTCGCACCACACACAGAACCGGCACACGAGAAACCCCCCAGGCTGGGCCCAGCGTGAGAGTCGCTTTCCAATCAGTGGCAATGCCAGCAGAGCAAGGTCACCTTCCCTGGTGACAGAGGATGGACCGTGTCTAGTTCGCAAAGAAGCCAGGTTGGGGGCACGTCCCACAGCCCTACGGCGTCCGCCTGGCTTACTGCTGAGCGTCTCCAGGGCCGAGCTGATGGGGGAGTGGCGGAGCGGAGGGGGGTCCTCAGCCGCCAGCCACAGAGCTGCCCAGTGGGGATGCTCTCCATCCACACAGGCCCGCTTCAGCAGTCACCCCCCGTCCCTGGCCAGCTGCCTGGTATCCGGGAGAACTGGCCAGCAGCAATTGGCTCCAGCCATTCCTAGCAAAGCTACCAGACTGTGAAGAACAAAATCAGGTCCTGAAGGCCTCTGAGCAAAACACTGAACGCTAACATCACACAGCCAGGAGCTGGGACTGGCCTCAGGATGCAGGACCAAGGCAGCCAGGTATGGGGCGGCCTGCGGGCTGACCAGAAGCAGAGGGAGGGCCCGGTGTGGGGGGAACATGAACAAATCTTGCCTGTTTCAACAAAATAAGAAACAACGCAATCAACAATTAGGAGTAAGCAGGTCCACCTAAATGCTGAACAAGCAGCTGAGACGTCCAAAACACACGAACAGAGACGAATCATGCAGAGAAGGAAACAGCCAACATGCTTCACACAGTTATTGTAAAGTGAAACAAAATGGCCAAGTGAAGACCAGACTCCAGTCATGACGACCCCCGTGAAGGGGCTGAGCCCGCAGAAGGAAGAGGCAGGCTTCTGGTCTGGCCCACAAGCCACCGGCCTTCAGGTGCCAGGAGCACCGCACTCCACAGCGGGGCGGGCAGAGGCCAAGCCCGAAGCACTGCCTGGGCCGCAGGAGGGTGCCTGCGACGCCGGCAGCTGCCCGTCTCCGCGAAGACCTGGGGGCTGAGACCGCCTAACCGCAGCCTTCACAGGACAGCAACTCCGGGAGGTGCCGGGGACAGAGCCATCCCGCCGAGACCAGGGGACACACAACATTGGATCGGCCGCCCGGATTCACAGACTCACAGAGGACCCAGGCCCAGCCTGGCACGCCCTGTCACAGCCTCACAGGGAACAGGCTCAGGGAGGTCACCAGGAGGCCCCAGGAGCAGAAATACAACACTCTGCTCGCAAGTTCGAAGTGACAAAGCAGAGAGGCCTTCCACCCGCCCTTCCACCTGGCCACTGAACTGCACACGCCAGTCCATGCGGAGCTCACGCATGTGCCCGTGTCCTCTCGCTCACTGCAGACCAGTACTAGCTTCCTCATGAATGGGCCTCAGCAAGAATCCCAACCCCCTGCAAGGGCCCGGTCACGCCTGGCGCATCCGGCAGGACCCCCATCACCCCAGCAGCGCCTGGGCCCTGCATCATGCATGGCTCACCACACCCACCTACTGCTGGAAGCACAAACCTGGACTCCTCCCCATGCTCAGCCCGAACCCCAAACTCACCCATCCCACCCTTCTCCCCTTCCCTCCCAGATTCTCCCACTTCCAGAGAGGCTGGTTCAGGGGCCTGGCTCAGGGTTAGGGCTAGTGGGGTCCTGAGAGCTCCCCGGTGGCTCCGCCCACTGCACAGCGGAGCTGCACCCACCTGCAGAGCAGGAAGTCACACCCCCACCCCACCTGCCTCTGCAGGCCGGCCTGCCCAGCCACATTCCCGGGAGGCCTCCTGCTGTAGGAGAGGAGCCCCGGGGTGCGGGAAGGCCCCTGGGTGCCGATCCCTGGTGCCCTCCGCAGCACCGGGGAGCCGGAGCCGCCCGGCTCAAGCACTGCTCCCAGCCTCGGACTCCGGCACCGGCTGCCGAACGGGAAGCGATTCCTGCTTGTTTTTTCTTGTCTGAACCCACAGGTCCAGGAGCGACACAAAAGCCTCAATGACAGTGACTGTTTCGCAAAAGGTCCCAAAGTCGTTAATGCGTCACAAGCTTTCAAATGTGAAATTAGGAAACGTCACTGTACAGACTGATGCCTCAAAAATTACGCACTTCCTACCCGCAAACATTCCCGCACGTTTTCCCACCCTCTCATAAAGGCATCTAGCTCCTACCGCCTGTCCTCCACACCAGACCAACGGGGCAATTTAAAGATGGGGAACCTCCAAGGTGCAGGTCCCCAGATCTGCTGAAGCCGCCCCCCACCGGGGTGTGGGGACAGAGTGTGGCCAGCCCGCCCTGGGCTCGGGGCAGAGGCTGAGGGCCAGCGGCGCCTACAACGTGGACGGGCACCCAGGGAGGCACCCACTTGGCGCAGCCGCCCAGGCAGGCCCTCTGCATGGCGTCCACGGTGTAGCGCAGGAACTCGTGAGCGTCCTCCTGGCTGCCGAAGCGGAAGTGCCGGGCGATCTCTGCGGAGAGAGGGGGCTGTCAGACGGGAGGGGGCCTCTGCAGGGGGCCGGGGAGGGGACGAGCTCCAGCTCTGAGCAACGAGGGCCCCTCCTGGCTCCCGGGGCAGAGATTTCTGCAGTGACACCGAGGGCTCCGTCCCTCTGCACCTGGCAGCAGGTGCAGACGCCCCAGGATGCCTGGCACTGAGACTAGGAATCCACCACCGACCGGTGTTCCCAGAGCCAGCGCAACACCGAGGGGTTAACTCTGCACCCCATGTGGGTCCCCAGCCCCAGCCACCTCTCTGCTCTGCCGGGTGGGAGGGACGCCCGACCTGGACAGCGTGGGGTCACCAGCAGGCTCCGCCTCCCACGGCCCAGCTCTCCTCCTGCTCACAGGCCCATGCAAAGCCCCCCGGGGCCCCAGCCTGGCTGACCACCCACTCTAAAGCCGTTCCCACGGACTCTGGCCATGGCGGTTGGGAAAGCACAACCCCTCGCTGTGCACCTCCGGCGGCACCGCCCAGGTCACCATCCTGAGAGGCCTCAGGGCCCCTCCCCCTCCCCCAACCGCCCCATCCCCCGTTCCGCTGTGGAGCCAGAGGGAAGGAGCATGGACCCACTTACTTCTCAGGTCTCGGATGAAGGACACGGGTTTGATGGCGTTGCCGCTGTTGGCGAAGGCCTGGACAATGTGGTTCTGCATGACACACAGCATGCAGAAGCCTCCTTGGTGGCCTGAGAGAGGGACAAGGTCATGGTGACGTGAGGGCACCCCTCCCACATGACCAAGAGAGGGAGCTGGGAGAGCTCGAGGAAGCCAGGGGTCCAGGCCCTACGCCCCCTGTGCGGGAGGGCGCCGGCACCACGAACCACCCGAAGTGCAACCCACACTGGCCCACGACCGGGGTTCACGCTGCGGGCCCTTGGCAGGGCTCTCCAGTGTATTCGCTCACCAGGGGTTAGTCCAATGCTCGGCGCAGAGTCGGGGACACGTTTTTCCTCACTTCCCAGCTACATCCCACGGCACACAGGCTGCCCCGCCCTCCCCAGAAAACCTCCCAGAGCGGACACGCGCGGTGCAGGGCGCCCGCCAGCTAGGGATGCCGCCCCGGTCTCCGCTGTCACACACCGTGCTGCCCTGGACGGCCCTGTGTCCTCATGTGCATCTGGACCTGTCCCCAGGGGCAGCGTGTTCTGCAGCGCTGAGGACACTGCTGTCTCCCACACGGCGTGGCCTTTGCAGGCAGACACCGCTCCTAACACCGGAGTCAACACTGGCAGGCGCTCTGCCCGCAGCAGCTCCAGTCACCCTGCTCCCTAGACCTGCCTAGACACCAGCGATGGAGGGGCACACGTGAGTTGCATGATCCCACCCACTCGGGGGCCCTGGAGGGGCCAGACACTCAGTGACAAAGGAGACGGTGGGTGCCAGGGGCTGGGAGGAGGGGCAGGGGCAGTGAGTGTTTCGCGGGCACAGAGTCCCTGTTTGGGAAGATGACAGAGTCCCGGGGAGGATGGGGTGACGGCCGCACAGCCGTGTGAATGTGCTTAATGCCGCTGTGCATGTGAACACGGGGAATTTAACGTGGGCCGTGTGTATTTATGTGAGTTTAACATAATGTGCGCGCACTGACCACACCTCGAAGAGCTTTACTTTTCCTAAATAAAACACATTAACTGGAGTCTGTACAAGGCACCCCTCCGGGAAGGACGTCAACATCCCGAGCGCGTGGTCGCCTTCACCTGGAGGTGGGCCCGTCGCCCCTCTCAGAGCCCTCCCGACGCTTCCAAACCCACTCGCTACGTCTACCGTAAACCAGAGCGGTGGAGGGGCGCAAGTCCAGGCAGAGCACGCATGGCACCGAAGATGACCCGACCCTGGGCCCCCCTGCGCCGGCCCGGGTCGGACGCCGCTGTGGACGCGGCCGCCGCCTGCGCCTGTCCTCGCCGGGTGAGGCGCTGCCGCCTGCAGCCCGGGAAGCGCTGTTTTCAAACAGGCCGAGGAGCACCTCCAGCCAGCACCGCTCCAAACAGGGCTTCCCAAACCCCTGGTGACACACAGCACGTGTCACGGTCGGACACATCCCCAGCAGTGTGCCACTGTGGCATGGGAAGCGTGGATGAAGGACAGCACGCGGCCCTCCTGGGGACCACACGGCGTCCCCTCTGTTATCTGCCTGGGTGCAGGCATGGTCTGGGCTTGCAGCCGGACCTGCGCTGGCCCCCAGACCCGGCAGGCCTTGTCGGGTTCAGGGAACGCTTCTCAGCACCCTGGAGAGCCCTCACACGCCTGGCCAGGGGGCGAGGCCCGGCCCGGCCCACCGCGGCGTCTGACTGCGTCCCTCAGCAAGCTCAGGAGTCCCGGTTACGAACGCGTCAGGATGAGGCAGGTCACTCATGGAGGTCTCCCTCCGCCACCTGGGGTCGCCAGGGCCCCTCCAGCTCCCGCCTGGGCCCCCAACAGACCGCTGCTTACGTGGGCTCCTGGTTCCCTCACGGCAGCACTTTCCTACAGGCCTGCTGGGCAGCCGTTTGAGAGACGACGTCAGGCTGTTCCCCGAAGCACAGAGGGTCCTCGATGCAGCCAGCGGGCGCTGAGACTTCAAGCAAAATGACTCGCGACAAAACCAGGCTCACCGGAGGCCAAGAGCGACCTGCCCGGGCTGTGCCCATTCAGCCTGGGGGGACCCAAAGGGTCTCCCTGGTCCGTGCCCTCCAGCCCACCCCCACTCTGGCCACCTCCTGCCCCTGTGCCCCCGCCACCACTGGGCGCGGTGTCCCACCAGGGTCGTCGGCACCAGGGGACTGGCGAGGGCGTGCATCTCTCCCGAAGCTGCTTGGCCAGGGGTTTCCGCTTCCGGAAGGTGCCTGTCCACGATTTTTATCTATTTTTAAATTACCCATTGTCTCCTCCTCGTCGACTCTGTGGTTCTTCACTTATTCCTGGCACCAGGGCTCAGTTTCTGCGTCCCGGGTCTCCCCGCCCACTCTGGGGCTCCCCGCTGGCCTTTTAATTTGAAGAGCTCTTCACAAACAAAAGTTCTCGAGAGGACGAGAAGGCAGCAGAGCGCACCAGTGTCTTCAGGTGTGGCCGGCGCCGAGTCCCCGCTCGGGGTCCTAGAGGTGGCCGCCCACAGTTGTCACTTTGGATGCCAGGTTCCTGGTCCTTCATGCGAGCGTGTGCTGTGGCGTGGGGACTCCATTTTGTTCTTCTCACATGTGGACCCAAGTTTTTCTTTTTAAGTTCTACTTGTTTAAAATGGAGACACACATATCGTGTATGTGAAAACTGGCAGGTGGACACCACATTTCCAAACACGTGTCCCTGGGCTCTCCGTGTGTTCCGGGAGTTGGGTCTCTCCGTGACCCGACACGACCACACGACCATTCCTCCACTGTCACAGGGAGACTTTGGAGTTGGGGTCCTTCTTCAGAAGTGTCGTGGTGACCCCTGGTCCTTCGCTCTTCTTTGCCTTCTGAACGTGAGAACCGGCCGCAGCCACATTAACCATGTTCACTACATTCGGCTGGGGAGAGCCAACAGCTGCACGCCAGCCAGCCCCCACCACACCCGCCTCTGTGCGGGCAGGCGGTCACGGGCATCCTTCGCTAAGGGTGAACTTAGGTCTAGACACTTTGTATCGTTTTTGGGCATCCTTCCGTAAGGGTGAACTTAGGTCTGGACACTTTGTATCATCTTTGTGGCTTTTATCATTTGTTTTATACTAGCAACTTATTCACCTGTTCTGTGCACAGAAATCCAATTACTTTGTGTGTATCGATGTCACTGATCCCGTCAGGCGGCCCACCTTCTAACCTGTCTACAGATGCCTTTGCTTCTGGGTGCAGGAGCGTGACAACAGCGTCACCCCTCATGTCTCCTCCCATCACCCCTCCAGCTGGGGCCAGCCATTTTGGAAGGAAGTGGTGACCACAGCATCCTTGGTCCACTGCTCAGGTTAAAGGGCCGGCTTCCAGTACTTTTTTTCTACTTAGACGCTGTGCTACAGTTTTTCCTTTATCAAGAAAAACCGCCTTCTGTTGCTACTTGGCTGGGAGTTTTACCAAAGAATATTTTCTGGCTTGTTTCCAGGTGACTCCTCTCTTGCTCTGCTGACATGGTAAGAGTCACTCAGACACAGAAGTGGGCGCCCACTCACATGGAACTCGCTGTGCGCCCGGCCGGGCCCTGCGCAGTCCATGTGGTTCAGGTAAGGCCAACAGCGCCAGGAGGGAGACGGCGTGGCCCCCGTGCAGAGGGGGCACAGGAAGTTCCAGGAGGCCAGGCGGTGTCCTCACGGACGCGGCACTGGAGGCAGACCCAGTGGGCAGCCCGGCGCCGTGTTCTCAAGCACCGTGTTGCACCGACCCCACCCCACAGGTGGACCCCGGGACCCTCTGCGGTGGAGCACCCTGGAGCTCCTAAGAGAAACACACTTAGCTCATGGTGCTTAAAAGGCTACTGAATTTGCTGGTATTTTGTGTGAATCTGTCGTCTGCGCTCGTGAGTAAGAGGAGACCGCGATTCCTCACCTGTGCTGTTCTCAGCCTCTAGCTGCGGAACCTCCGGAACGCGGGGGGCCTGACTTTTTCCGCTCCCCGGGACAGCGTGTGAGCCACTGCCACCGTCTCATGCTCAAAAATCTCATAAACTTACCCGCAAACCATCTCGGTCTGGGGTTTCCTCGTGGGGAGACTCTGAAACACTGACTGACTCTCTTTGTTGATAAAACACTGGGATGGTCAGTGTATAAAATGACGGAAACACGCACAGGGTGGAGCAGAGCGAGGTTTATGGTCGTGCGCATGCCCACGGTTTCATTCTCGTACTGTCGCCTGTTGACGGCTGTGCTGCTCCCCCACACACGCTGCAAACCCGCACTGCCCCCTGTGCGTGGCGGTGTCCCCGGAGAACCCTGCTTTCTGTCTGAGGAGCAGTGTTCCGGAAAGAACACTGCCCTGCCCTGAGCAGGTGGCTCCCTGTCACAGCCTGCCGCAGTGGGCACACTGAAGCGGTTACCAGGCGTCCTGACCTTCGCCCCAAGTTTGGCCCAGGCCGTGCGTGGCAATGCCGCCTGTGCATGGGTCGGTGTTGGCAGCCGGCCGCGGTCCCGGGGACGCAGAGCCCACCCCGGGCAGCCACTCACAGTTGCGCGCGTGCTCCCTGGAGAGCAGGTAGTTGGCCAGCGGCGGCGTGTAGGTCAAGCACTGCACGGTCGAGTTCAGGAAGCACGTGTTGCCCAGGTTGTGCAGCCCGGCGCCCACGCGGTAGACGCGCTCCCACTTCAGGGACAGCCGCTCCATGGGGAAGAGCACTTTCTGCGGGGCGGGGACACCGTCACCGCCGCTGTCACACAGGTGCTCGCTGCCTGGGAGACGGGGATGAAATGGGGACAGCGTCAGTCTAGGTGTGGCAGACCACAGAGAGGGGCTGCAGGCGCCCCTCTGGGCATGGCACCGGAGGTGACAGGTGTCCCGCCTCCTAGAAGTGTGCCAAGGCCCAGCAGAAGGCCAGCTGTCCACACAGACCCTGCGTGGGCCTGGGATTCAGGGCCCCTCCACGGCTGAGGGGGGAGCGGCAGAGGGGGCCCTGGGTGGCCCACCCGCTCCTTTCCTGTTTCCCAGCCCCCGCTGGACCCGGTTAAATACACGCATGCCGAGGGAATCTAAGGACACGGATCCCTCTCGGACCAATCCCACATCATCACTGCCACAACTCAACCCACGGACCCCACACAGAACCCACAGTTCTCCGACCATGCTCCACTCCGGCCCCTCCTGCCCGGTCAGCAACCCATCCGCCCACTCTGTCAACGGGCAGTGAGGCCCTCTCTGCCAGCAAAGATGCGCCTGTACCCTGTCTCCTGGTCAGCGGCTCCTCCGCACTCCTGCGGCACCCGGCTCCCTCTGCTTTGGGGTTCAGCAACACGTATTTGCTCTTCAAGGACTCCAGCTGGTAGGAGAAGCTCTTGCTGGCCGGCTCGAACTCGATCTTCTGTAAAAGGACCTTTTTGGCCGAGGCGGCCAGGAGCCTCCCCAGTTCTCCATCGTCGGTGGAGTCCTTGCGGCCAGGTTTCAGGGCTTCCTTCAACTTATCGACGATTGGCATGGTGCGTCACTGCAGGGACAAGGGGGGACACAGAGCAATGAATGACCAGGCCCCAGGGACAAGGCGCTTCTCGGAAAAGCGCCACTCTGGTCTTTACGGACACCAGCCACACAGGAGCTTCCCTGGGTGGCTGCCAAGCCTAGGAAGCATGAAATGTGAGGGCCCACCAGTGGCCACGTGAACACTGCAGCCTGCCGGGCTCCTCTCAAAACAGGGGGCTGCCTCCCCCCGAGCACCAGACAGACAGGAGCCCAGAGCCGGGGTGGCCTTGGGGCGCGCATCTCTCCCACACGTGACTGCGGACTTTGTGCCAGGTGCAACTTCCTCTCTAAAGGTGCCCACGGGGTCCTAGTGTCCACTCAAAGCAGGGGACACCAATTCTCATGAGACCCTAGGTCATACATCCAAATCCACGCGACAAGGAGTTAAACACAGCAGGTCAGAGGGACATGCCTGTCCGCCCGGATCCACACTATCCAAATCGAAGGCCGCGGGCCACACGGAACCACTAAACCCATGGAAGGAGGACGCGCCAAACTAACGTGCCGCGTCATAATATGCGCACCGGATGCGGAAGACTCGCGGGGAGAATGCCGACGCCCAGCAATTCTCAGGCTGCTCAGACGTGGCGCTTTACAGGCGCAGCTCCAGTTAACAAAGACAGACTGCGGGCCCTCCCTGCGCCTGCTATTACACCCGGAAGTGCACGGGGGGCGGGGCTTGTGTGGGTCACCTGCGGAACAGGTGCGGAGCCAGAACCCAACAGCAAACACGAGATGCCTTGACAGAAGCAAAGTGGCAGCAACAGCCCGAGCTCCAGCACGTGGCGGGCTGTACGCTCCAGGAAATCCATCGCCTCTGATGGCTGCGCTGAGTCTACCACTTCTCCCCCCACCCCCACCTCTCCCCTTGCACCCTAGGTAGGGCTCCGAGCTCCCTGAATCACAGAGAAACACGCCCCTTACACTGATCACTCCCGTCAGAACAGCGCCCCCTACAGGGCCCCGGCGGCCCGCTGGCCCCAGCCACACCAGGGAGTTGGATGTGCCCCAAACCCCCACTCCAGGAAAAGGGCCCCGCGATTTATCGCTGTGAAGCATGATTTCATACATGGGCCAAGTCTCTCTGTCTATCAACATGTCTGCAGAGTACAGACTTGTAATACTTATGTCTTTAAATACTTTTTAAAAACCCTTACCCGAGGACATATTTTTTTATCACTTTTAGAGACAGAGAGGAAGGAAGGGAGAGGAGAGAGTGAAAGAGAAACACAGATTGGTTGCCTCCCAGATGTGCCGTGACTGGGGATCGAACCCACAACCTTCTGGTGTACAGGATGGTGCTCCAACCAACTAAGCCACCTGGCCTGGGCATAAAACTCATTTTTGAAGAGGCACCAGTTCTTTGACTTGAGGAAACAAAAGCAGGTCTCTTTAAGGAAATTGATGAAGAGTCTGCACACCGGACAACGGCGGCTGGGCCACAGGCAGGAGCCGAAGCCCGTGCAGCTCACCTGGGACGTGTGACCTTGGGCACGCCACTGCTGCAACATGGGGTCAGGTCCTCGGCCAGACGGGGCTGGGTGGGGCTGAGCCCGCAAACGTGCGTGCTCCTTGTCTCTGGCTCGTTAAATCACTGAAGCTGCAAGCATGCCGTCCGGGACAGGAGTCAGAACCTGAGGGGTAAACAGGGCGCCCGTTGAGGCTGGCTCTCTTCCCACTGTCTCACCAGCCCACTCTGCGGTATGGCGCGGCGCAGCGCGGCGCGGAGAAGGAAGGCCGGACACCAACAGGGAACAGTCTGCCCTAGGGCTGGAGAACAGTGGCAGTGTGGACCCAGAAGAGGTGGGAGGGGAGCTGAGTAACCAGCTACAAACTAGTAACTGGCATGACATGCAAACACGCTGCTTGCCCTACGTTTAAACTTTCATGTGAATGACAAGACCAGGGGACGTTTAAGCTTTCATGTGAATGACAAGACAAGGGAACAAACCCCCCGCCCCCCGTTTGCCAGGCAGCTCCAGTCCAAACGGCACTCCAAAGAGAAAGAGGCAATCGAGAATGACCTCCAGCTTTCAGATTTCATGAACCACTGAACCAACCCCCAAAATAACCTAATTGAAGGAAAAATGAGCATCGCCAAACTTCCTCTTTGCTCAGCGTGGACCTTTCCCTTCGATCACCACCTGCAATGACTGTGATCACAGAAAACTGAGGTGCTTTAAAACCTTTCAGTGAGAAGATGTTTGGACATTCACACGTGGAGAGATCGGCTTGGTGGATGCCTTGTCCCCTTACTCGGTGTCAACAACGACTACTTTGCAGGGCTGTCCCAACTCCTCTCCTGTCCCCACAGGACTTCACAGCAAATTTCAGATACGTCCTGTGTCCGACATCCCTTAGCAAAAGCTCATCAACACCAAACACGGTAAACCCCCTCCAGTGTCCCTGTTGCAGTGGAGACCCGCACCACAGAGTGGGGACAGGCGAGCACTTCATACTGGACCCATGTGAAGGGCGAGTGCCTGGGAACTGAGCAGCCAGAGGATGAACAGAACTGGGGAGACCCAACCCAATTAACTCCGGGCGAATACTGTAAAGAGCACCCATCCCATAGCCCACCTCTCTGGTGGAGTCAGATTTTGAACAAACATCATTTTTCCAGTTCTGATGGAAAGCTCAACCTCCACATCATCAGCTTCACCTGGCACAGTAAGCAATAATGTAAGAACGATTTCTGAGGTGTGGGAACCCAGAGAAGGATGTCCTCCTACCGCCAGCACTTCCTCCGATGTGCAGGCTCCACAGACACGCTTCAAAACCAAGTAAGGATGCGCTCAGGTGTCCCCCGCTCCAAGAAGGCTCCTCTTCTCCGTGTCCCTTTCCACCCCCAGAGTGCTCGGACACGGCGCCCTGGAAACAAACTCCACTCTGTGCAAGCGCACTGGCTTTCCCACCGCCGAGCCTCTGCACTGAGACTAACAGGGTCAACCACGTGCAGGCGGGGAGGGGCCTCGCAGGGACCTGGCTGGGCCTCCCCGGGGCGCCAGTAGGGGGGCCTCCAGGCTCTTGCGCAGAGCACCAGTGCCTAGCAAGCTGCGCGTGCCTCTCCTCCGAGGCCCGATTCTCTCATCCCTTACAGAAAGTCTCTTTCTGAGGATGTTACTCTAGCTAAGACCGTAGGGGAGACCCAACAGTACTCCATCCAAGCAACGGTACTTTAAACACCCACATGCCCCGTGACCGCGACAATGACCATGAAGGTTACCTACCTTCTCCAAGGCTCCTGCCTTTTCCATATCGCTTACTAAAGGAAAACAAATACGGTCTCAGCTCTGCTGCCCAACAGAACGCTGTGCCCCCAATTTCGACTTAAACTATTCCAGAGCAAGGCCAGATCCTGCTTAAAGGATGCTTCTGTGCCTAACGACTGTGCCCCACAGCGACGCAGGCCACTGCCTCCTGCCCGCCTGGGCTCCTGTGGAGCAGCTCTCCTTTCCACCTTGGCTCGGGGTTCGCGGGGGACCGCAGAGTGGACCTAGGGCCTCCCCGCGGATGGCGCAGCCCCGGGCCCTGCCCGTGGACCCGGGCGCCCTCTAGGGCACGCGTCCACGTTTCCCCGCGAACCACCGTGCCCCTCGCGGACCGGGCGGCCCTAGACCCTCCCCGTGCACCAGGGAGCCCTCACGGACACGCACCCACGTTTCCCCGGATAGCCCCCCGGGTACGCCCGCGACGGGCCGCAGCTTCCAGAGCAGCAGGCCTAGCGGGGACGGGCAGCCTTCCCCCGACTCTAGCACCACCCAAACTCGGCCCCATCGTACCCGTCCCTCCGCTAGCCCGTTGCAGCCCGCGGCGCTGGCGTCTGCTCGGCCCGGGCCCCGCACACTCACCATCCGGGCCCCTAGCGCTTCACACACGTGTCACGGCGACACTTAAAGGTACCGCGCCCCGCTGCCCCAGCTGCAGAACGCAAAAAGTCCAAGAGGGCTTTAAGAGGAGGAGCTAGCTTCAGCTCCACCCCCTTGACCCGCCCACAGCTTTTACGCACCGGAAACGTCACCTCTTCATCCCGCAGCCGCGCCATCCTACGCGATGACGCAAGCACGCACAGCAGACGCCCCGCCCCCGGCCAGGCCTGTTCCCGCAGACTGCGCGAGACTCTCACTTCCGGGTCCGGCGCGCAGGACGTCAGGGGCTTCCCTGCCGGGCCTGTGTGCAGGGCTGCGCCTGTCTCACCTGCTTCAGGCAGTGATTTGGAGGGCTGGGCCTCACTAGGGCCTCCAGTGACCGAGACAGGCCGGTGCGATGCGGACAGCCTACCCAGGAAAGGCAGGGGTGCGAGCCCTGTGCAAACTCCCTGACACCCCTTCCTCCAAAAGGTCATCCCGTGATGACTGCTTAAGGCTTTGGTTGAGTGAGTGCAAATACGCACTGCTTTTGCGGTTCTAAATATTGTATGAAAATATCCCATTTCCTTGAAGCAGCTTCATTGGCCTCGGGCCGGTGGAGAGAGCAGTTCCTAGCCTGACCTCTGGTGGTATTCTCAGAGAAGCAGAGGGTGGGAATAAACGCTTTTCCCGAAAGCCGAAACTTGTGTGCACAGCCCTTATCTGCTGTGTCTGTCTTCAGGTCCCTCTTGTCCTTCACGTGGGGAGTGGGGACAGAGAGAGAACGTGTCCTTGGAACAGCCTGCACCATGTAGTAACACGTGGGTCTTGGTGTGTTTTGGAAAAGCGGATAAGCAGAAACAAACCCTTAGGAGCCTTTCTTCCCTGTCTGAGGGTCCTCAGTGTGAATCCTTCCTGCGCCGTGAGACAGCCATTCAAACAAAGCAGTCTTCACTATTCCAGGCCTGATTCAATGTGTGAATGGGTGGTTAAAAAGCGGGGGCAAGAGTGGGGGGCGGAGGGGAGAGGGTGTAACTGGCGGGAATGAGTAACTTCAGTTTTATTCTAACTATGTCCCAACTAGGACATTTTTTTTTGGACACCTTAACTGCGGGCCTCAGTTTCCTCCTCTGAAATAAAGATAATGTCCAACATCTCTTTAACTATAGTAACAAAAGCAACAGCATTTACTTCCATTGCTGAGGAATACCCAGCTGGCTCCTTTACCTGCACTGTCGGACTCAATCCTCCCGGCAAACCTACAAAAAGATACGGTTCGCATCTTACAGATGCAAAACTTGAGTGTGCAAGAGCCCAACAGACGGGTGGTGGTGATCTGAGGGTTTAAACGCAGGTGTCTGTTAGGCTCCAAGTTCACACCATTACCTCCGGCTCTCAGGCATCACCCGGAAGTTCTTAGGAGATATCAAGGAAGTAGCCAGAAAGGCCTGCAGGCTGCTTGAGAACATTACCTCCTAGGTGTTGGGAGGGGCCTTTGGCAGTCACCTCCGGCCCTGCTCCGCTTTCCACTTCCCACACATTCCACTTGCCTCATAGAGGCCTTCAGAGAGGAAGCTTCTGGAGCTTCGTTCACATGGGCCCATGTGAAAGTCCTTCCTAAGGGGCTCAAGCTGAGAGGTCACTTGAAAAATGCAAGTTAAAACCACCATGAGGTCCGCTCCACCCCCTCTAGAACAGCTGAAATGAAAAGACCGGATGTTGGAGAGAATGGGGAGCTTGTGGACCCTCTGTAAGACCACTGGGCCAGTAAAATGAAGCAACCATTTTGGAAGCTGATTTGCAGGTTTCTTTGAAGCAACAGCTGTACTTACTGTGAGAGCACATCCAATGCTATTATCACCGCCACAACAAGGGCGGGAAGGGGGGGCTGGCACTCGCCAGATGTGCAGAGTTGGGCCTCCGGCCCCTACCTGTGGAGTCAGGGCTCCAGGACGTGCCTCCTGCTTCGCCCCCTGGATGTTCCCAGAGCACCTCAAACTCACCGGGCCAGAAACAGCGCCGCCCTGCCTTCCCCACCCCACCGCTCCATTTCTGACCCGTGCCCACGTGGGTTGTGGCGCTGGCGCTCAGGCCAAATCCTTTCCCTTTCCAGCTCTTTCCAGGCTGCCTTGTGAACCGGTTTCCAGGGTGCCTGGGCACTTGGGCACACTGGCGAGACTGAGGGCAGAGAAAAGCAGAAGCAGGGCCATCCCTTCCCCCCTGCTGAGAGTGGCGTTTGTGGCACTGCCCCGAGCCTCTCCCGGCGGCCCCTTCCTGGCCTCCAGGGGGCAGCGGCTGCCCCTGCCCCTCCACCCTGGAGGTGCGGACAGCTTCCTATGTGCCCTGGGTGGCTTCTTATGGAGTTGCTTCTGTTAAGAAAAAAAAAAAAACTGAACTTAACTTCCAGAGCTGAAAGTCTTGAAAAGGTTTTATTGAGCCAAAAATGCGAGGGGAAAAGGCTGGTCTGGGGGCATAGAGTGCAAACTGCCAGCCGCCCAGCCAGGTGGAAAAAACAAGCGTTTTTTCCCCATGAAGCAGGGGGAGGAGGGAGGAAGATGGGAGCCGGCTGAGAGAATCCGGCGACAGGCTAAGGTAGGCAAAGGGGGGCGGGGTGAGGTGGAGCCAGCCCAGGGCAGCAGAGTCTCAGAAGGTCTGCTATGCTGCTCTCCGGCTGTGTGCAGCCGGCCAGAAAGCCCCGTGTGCGCAGCAAGCAGACGGTCCTGGAGTTCGAGGGCTAAGGAAGCCCGTGGGGACAGCACCCAGAGGTTAATTTGAAGTTCCAGCAGACGGAGGAGGAGTGAGGCCAGGCCTCTGTCAGCTGGTCCCCAGCCAGGAACAAAATGACAGTCCTCTCTCCCCCTCCCTGGCTGCTGTGGTGTAGTTTAGAGTATCTCAGAACGTCCCCTGTGTCTCTTGCCAGGATGTGGCCACACCCTGCGCAAACCCCACTGTAAAGGCTGTCCGGATGGGGTGAGTGTTCCCTGTCGGACCTGGACTGATAGGGACAGAAACCGCAGCAGCTACTGCCTGCCCGGCCGGTGCTTCAGGCTCCTCTCCCCTCACCTGATGTGTAGATCGTCATGGAACACATTCTGCTATTTTACCTCAAATGTTCCTGACACTGTTCCCCCCCTTTTGTCCAGCTATAGCTCCCCGCACTCTCCTCTGTGTTATTAAATGGGATGATGCCCCTGGATGCTCCTCCCTTGGTCTCTAATGGCCCGGGGGGCTGGCCCCACCTGCCTTTCTCCCCTCATTTCCAGCCACTCCCTGCCCTGCCCTGGATCCCAAGTGCTCCCCAGGCCCCAGTCAGGCTGTGTCTGCCCCAGGCTCAAGTTTGTCTTTGGCCTAAAATTCCCTTTCCCACTCACCCTTCAGCCACCACCTCTGACGTCTCTGGCATCACCCCCTCCAAGAAGTCTTCCTGGATTTCCTCCATCGCTGCCATAGGCTGGTACTGCCTTGGGCTGGCCTGCACATCCCACTTAGACATTCAGTGGGAAGGTTCCCTGGACTTCTTCCCCGACCGTGACTCTTAAGAGCCAGCACTGCATCCCATTCACCTGTTTTTGAGTGTCAGGCAGGTGTCCCCACTGGATGGGAGACCTGCGACCCAAGCCTTGTCTGCACAGGAGGCTCTGTCATCCTCAGCCTTGCAGAGGAAGGAGGGCAGGAAGGTGGGGTGCTGAAGAGCTGGGCCTGGGAGTCTGCCACTGCCTGGGCTCAAACCCCAGCTGCAGGGTCCGTCTGGGCAACCAGGTGACTCCCTCCCTTGGCCTGGTTTCCTTGTCTATCGAGCGAGGGAGACGAGAGGACCGATTTGGCAGGGCTGGCAAGGGCTCCAGGAGATGCTGTGTCACACTCGGGACACCTGTCCCACAGTGCAGCAAGTGTTCATAGAGCCCCGGACTGCAAGACCTTCTGGGATGACTTCCTCAGCAGAGGCCTGCAGAGTTTGGGAGTGGAGCCTCCTGGGTGGGGAGGTGGGGGGCGGGGTGTGGCCGGGGGACAAAGGCGGGGGCAGGCCGTGAAAGGAGAGGGGCAGGACCTGTGCTCGCAGAAGAGCTGCCCCGGCAGGCCCGAGACTGGTCTCCTCGGGAAGCCTGCTCGCCACACGCGTGTCTGGGAACCTCGATTTCGGGAGGGCGCCCCCATTCCCGGCTCACAGGCCCCCGTGTTTGTGATGCTGGGCACGGGCTTTCCTTCTGGGGGTCGGGGCTGTGCTGTGTGCTGAGCAGAGGGTGTGTCTGCCTGCGTGACCAGCGCCCCATCACAACCTGGGGCCGAGTCTCTGACCTGCTGCTCCCTCGGTGGGATCTTGCTCCTGGCCCTCCCTGCACCCCTGGCTCCACCTGAAGGGGCAGAGCAGTTGCGACCCGCCCAAGAAGAGCACTTGTGGCTTCCTTTACTTCAGGGTCACGCATACAGCGTGCTGCCTCTGCACCCCTCCTGGACCCCATCCTCGAGTGCTCCTAACACCCGCCCTCTTTCTGCAACCCCCACCCGACACCCCTGCCCCAGTCTGCAGACTCGATTGTGATCTGTCTCGTGTCTGTGTGCTGTTTCATGGGAAAGAAATATTTCTCCCAGTTGTTTCCACATGGAAGTGTGCAGGGTTAGCTCATGTTTCTGAAATGTCTCCCAACCCACCCCAGCACAATCAACGTGGTTTTGGGAGGAGCAAATCTGCTATTACAACTAAATGGTTTGCCCAAATCAAAGCACCGCCTCTCACCCCAAGGTGGCTGAGGCCCCTGCGTGTGACCAGGTGCATTGTGGGTTGGCTCAAAGCTCAAACCCCAGGCTGGCAAGTTGGCCTGGTCACAAGCTTCCAAGTCTTAATGCAAAACCTATGGCAACAATGAAGCACCTGTCATTAAACTGACCCCAACAGAGTACACAGAGGGCCTCTGTTTGGGTCCCATTTTTTACAGAAAAAGTACGATCAGGTAAACACACCCATTAGTAACGAGGGGGAAGGACAGTACTAGCCAGACTTTGCAGTATTCCAACCAGTCCTGGTGGCCCTCCCTCCCTCCCCCAGCCCCTCCCTCTGACCTGCGTCTGTTAGGTGTTCCAACGAGACAGCCGGCTGTCCCCCGCTGTCCCAGTCACCGCTCTTTCACGGAAGGAGCAAAACCGAGTGGGGAGGAAGTGTCAGGAGGACTCCCTAACACCCTGGTCACCCCGGATGTGGGTCTCCACACCAATCCCCCTGTTTGCAAAGATCAGGAAAATTCGGGTAGTTGTTGACACCAGCTCATGGGCGTGTAAAGACAGACACACCGTCTTCTCATTTTGGTGTGTGTTTGCAAAAGTCGCATCTGAAAAAACCACGCCTGACCTGAATACATGAAGTAAGCGAGAGGCCCAGCACCCGCACGGGCGCGCGGTTCGCTGCCACCCCAAACGTGGCCTGCGGCCTGGACGAGCGTGGACACCAAACGAGGCCCCCTGTCTGACACCGCGAGCTTTGGTCTTACTTTGCTCAGAGGCCGCTGAGAGCCATTTCCCCCATATGTGTCACCGCGTAGGAAAACAATCGAGTGTTTCTGCAGTCCCTGGGTGGACGGCGGGTGACATCAGCGGGCACCCTGTCCCTCTAACTCTCGCTGCTTCAGAACGGCATTGGAGAGTCTGTCTTGCAGATGAGGCCAATTCTGCACAAAACGGGAACCCAGTCCTCGGGCTATCCCTGGAGGAACAGAGTCTACCCGTGGGCTGGGGTTCAACTAGATCACACAAGAATTTCCGCACAGTGACTTGAGGTACACGACACCTGGGTCAAGTTGAAAGCATGAAGGGGCCACCTCTCCCAGCACGGGAGGAAACGTGGGGGAGGGGGGAAGCCCCCAGAACAGGAGCAACCCCAGGGGGCGGGTGCCACGCACGCCCCTCCGCGGATCCCCGTTCAAACCACTACAGCACGAAGGAGCACTCAGGGGGCCGTCAGCGGCAGCGCAACCTCGGCCGGGCGATCAAGGACAGCCGTGGGCTCACCTTCATCTCTCGGGTGGGGCAAGCCATTGGGGATGTTTTTAAAACAGGTCTTAGTTTTTAGACACAGGTGCTGAAGCATTTCGGGGTGTACCTGTACCATGTCTGGAACTTTCCCTGCCCAAAAATCTCGGGCAGGGGGGTGGGGTGCAGGTGGCGGCACAGAGGGAAGGGACAGGCGTGCACCCTCACTGTGGGAGATGCAGGGTGGGTGCCGGGCTCTGCTGGTGTGTGTGTGTGTGTGTGTGTGTGTGTGTGTGTGTGTGTGAATGAAGAGGGCCCCTCCCCATGCTATCGTCTGCCAGTCTCACAGCTGCCTGTCTCTGCCACACCCTGGGCTGGCCTCTGGTTCCCAGGCCAGGTCCTATGGGGGGCCCAGCACTTCCCTGCCCCCCCCCGGGGCGGAGCCTCCTGTGTAGAGGTTCCACTAGAAAGCAGGGGCCCTGGACGCCGGACGCAGCCACACAGAGAGGGCAAGACTCTTCGATAATACTGTTTATTGTCCACTGACCGAGCGACCACCCCAGAACGATACAAAGCATCAGAGAGACATGCGCAGTCTGCTTGTCGACGCTGAGCGTCTCACACGGTTCCCAGCACAGGGAGGTCTCAGACTTGGTGTTCCAGCAAAAACACATCGCCCCAGATTTTTAAAAATTCCAAACAAAACAAACAAAATCCACAAAGCTTTAAATTATGGCAGCAAGCCCTGGTGTTTCTTATTACTTATCAAGCAAACGTTTGAAAATAACTACAATGTAAACTTGATTGTAAATATTTCCAGTTGCTTGCATAAAGACAACAGACGGAGGGAGGAGAAGCGTGCTCAGCGTCTAATGTAAATTCACAACGCCATGGCAAGGACACCGCAGCCGTGCACGGTGACGGGGGTCCGAGTGGCCTTGTCACCCCTCGGCCGCCCCTGGGCACTTCCTCTCAGCTTTTAATTTTTTTTTTCCTGCTCGGCCTGGCTAACAGACCAACATGAATTAAATTACAAAGGCCGTCTTTCAGAACCGGACTGCGAGGCCCTTTTCTCTGTAGGACCTTGAACCAGAGAAGAGATGGGAGGTGGAAACAGCAAGGATAACTCAAAAGAACTCAGGGCGAGAGCTGGAGGAACCGCAGCCCTAGGCTGGGACCACGCCACACTTTCCACGCTGGGGCCCACGCGGCCACGGGCAGGAACTGCAAAAGGAAAAGTGCAAGTCTAACACCTACCAAGGGTAATAAAAGACACAGCACAGGAATGATTACAACTGATGTCGGAAACCAACCGAAGCATCGGAAATGTCAGCAGAAACAGGAGCACATGTTACATTGGATAACACCGTACAGGAAGCCAATGGGAGGGGTGGCCGAAGCGGCCGGAGCGGTCGGAGGGCTGCTGTCCCGCGCACACTGCAGCTGCTCGGACTGGCCCCAACTACGCAGGCTCCCTGCTGCCGCACAGCGCGGATGCCTGCGCCCTTACAATGCCCTTGGGCTGGTCCCCAGTTCTTCTCGTCTGCCCTGGGAAGGGAAGTCGTCAGGGTCTGCACTGACCGGGTCCCAGCTGGGCACGGGGGTGCATGCCGCTTGGGGGGTCAGGGGTCTTGCAGGCGCTGCGGGGTCCCTGCAGAAGAGGGCAGGCTTGGAGGGTGGTGATTTTGGAAGCAGTTTTCGGAGGTACCCTCACAGGCCAGCAGGCCGGCCTCGGCTTCGTGGTGCATGTGTGCGCCCGATAGTCACCATACACTCCGAACAGCTGGGCCTTACAAGACAAGTGGGATTGAAAAGGAGATTCAATCTTTGTTCTTACTGAGCAACCTCTGCCTGTCCTAACCTCAACGTTGGTGGCATCCGAGAACCGCTCTCAGGCAACCAACAGGTCCCCGAGCTCTCTAGGAAAGAGGTTTCTTAATGGAGACATCTTGGTGCAGTGAGGGCCACCAGCAGAGGCCGGTGCGGCTGTGGGGCGGGTCCATGCGCTGTCTGAGAAGCCATCTTTAGCAAAACGAGACCGATGCCTCTTAAAGCCAGCAACCGAGTCCAGGGGCCCAGGAAAGGAGTTTCACTGAAGCCACCTGTGCCGAAATTTGTCCATCCCTGGGCGGGACTTCACAGGACACTTAGCTAACTTCCTACCTGGAAATCCAGGCCCAAGGACTGCCAGTCTGGGGGGTGGGGTGGGCACAGCAGGACCTGGCTTTCGAAGTCCCCAGGGCGCACATGGAGGCCACAAACCGCACCCTGCAAAGCCTGCGTCTCCACATCGATGCCAGAGCGAGGGGGCAGGAGCAGGAGTGATTTTGGGAGCTCAAGACTTAGCCACAAGGGCAGCCAACTGTGCCCCCGAGCATCTGTCCTCAGGACGGAAGGTCTCACATCCCCCTAAGGGTTGGGGAATGGGTGTGGGGGGGATGGGGGCTACGATGACTTGGCTGCGGTGGGCGCGGTGATACCCACATCTCCACTCGCCCCGGAGGGAGGTGCCCCCTGGATTCTGTGGATGAATAAGAGTAACAGGGGCTCCCTGGGGAACAAGCTGCTCCTGGAGCACAGGAGTCACAGGTGTGGAGTCTGGTCAGCTCAGGGGTGCCGGGGGGCAGGGGACGGACACCCTAGGGCCAGCGGCGTGGACGCTGCAGGAAATGAGGGACATGCCCCTGTCAAGACAAAGGGACCTGGTAGGCCTGCTACACAGTCTTGCAATGACCCTCGAGTTTCTGCAAAACGCACCCCCCCAGGCTCTGCCCTGACCAGGCCGGGGTACGGGGGTGCCCCCTAAGTGCCGCCCGCTCAGCGTTGGTGCAGTGCCAAGGCTGGGCCTGGAAGGAAGCCCGAGTCCCGCCCCTGCCCGCAGCCCGGGGCCGAGACCGAGCCGTTCGGAGCCCCGGCTGGCGGTGCCGTGCGGGACGGGCCTGTCCCTCCAGAGCCACAGCCGAGTGTGCAGGGAACGGGGCGGGGCGGAGAACGACACTGATTTAGACCCGCTGGGAGGACCGCTTTATTCATGCTATTTCCGGGAGGGGGTGTCAGAGCTGGGCCAGTCTGCACTCTCGGAGGCTCTTCAGTCGGCCGCGGGGCGCCTAGGGGTCCTCGATGTCCAGGAACTCCTGCTTGGGCGGCGCCGCCCCGCGGTACCACGCACAGGAGCCGTCGTTCCTCTTGATGCAGGCGAAGAACTTGGCCTGGTGCCCACTGATGCTCTTCTCCGTGACCCAGTCCATCCACAGGCACTCGTCCAGGGAGGAGATGTAGCAGGGGATCATGGGGCAGCGCGTGATCTGGGGAGAGGGGCGTGTAACGGGGCTCAGCGGGGACCGAGGCCGCGCGGGGGCGTGTCCCAGACCCAGCAAAGCACCGGGCACAGGTGGCCAAAGGCACTTTGTTGAGTGGATGACCCCAGGAGAGAGGCAGGGGAAGCTGGGAGGGCAGGGAGTGGAGACCAGGGGGCCCTGTGCGCCCCCTGGCCATTGCAGGCCTCCTCCACCGCGGGCCCTCTGGTCTACCTTCTCTGAGCACAGCAAGTGCCGTTGCCTCCACCCACCCTCCCTCCCAGAGTGTGAGAGTAGCGATCACAACATCAAAGGGCCTGAGGCCCCTGCAGAGAGCCAGCAGGTGAAGGAAAAGGCTGGGCCTTGCTCCCTCCCAAAGCCACTTGGGCGGGGGCAGCAGGGGCGGGGTCAGGAAGCAGCACTGGGGCTGAGGAAGCTGAGTCTCCAGGAGGATGAAACCTCCATGACCACGTGAAGAACTTGTTTTTGATTTTCTGTCGGGCGCAGAGGCGTCTGCTCAACCTACATGGGGCTGTAGGTCAAAATCCTTATCTCCAGTGAGCAAAGGGCCAGGCTGGGGACGGGTGGGAGGGCCACATACTTAGTGTCGAGCACCGTCGGCCACGCCCAGGGCCTTCCCAGGGCTTGTGCCTGGCCCGGCACCTCCCCCTCGCTCATGGGGGGTGAGGCAGAGGGGCGCCTGGCACCCAGCAGTGTGTCCTGCGACGGGGCTGCGGGCAGGGTGGGTGACGCCGGGACGGCTCACCTTCCATGTGCACACCAGGGCTGGCGACACCCTTACTGGGCTGCTTTTAAAACCTTTTTAAGAAGGGGGCTGGGGTTCCTGGCGTTCTCGGCACACAGGCCCCACCTTCCCAAGGACCTATGCGTGGAAGGGGCCGGGGCGTTGGCAAGAGGGTAACGTGTGGACTCTTACATAGCACAAGCTTCACCCCTACACCGTTGTGGGAAGTGCTCACGGCCACAGTCTCCCCCTCGAAACTCCTTCCACAAGAGGGCTCCCCTTCCTGGAAGTGCTGGGCCCCTGCCCAGACTGGGCCCAGGGCTCCCCCCACCGGACAGCCTCACTGGTGGCTGAGTGGGGGCCCTGTGCATGGAGTGGCCCTGGAGAGCCAGGCGCCGAACTCTGCAGCCGCCCAGAGGCAGCGGGGACGGGGCGAGACCGGAAGGAGGGAGGCTTACCTTGCACTCACAGCCCATCTGGTACCTGTGGTTCAGGCTCTTCTTCTGGGTGGTGCTCAGGGTGTCCCAGGGCACGATGAAGTCACAGAGGGTGACGTGCATCTTGCCGTCCCCCTCGGCCTTTCCTGAGGAGAGACAGGGACCCCGAGCTCAGGGCGGGTCCCGGCTGCCTTCACGTCCCCAGTGGCCTCGGCACCAGGCGCGGCTCGGGCACAGGAGGTTCGGTTCCAACGACACCGTGTGCCAGGGCCAGGTGGTGTCCCCCAGATTCGCAGGGTGGGACCCCTGCCCCGGCAGCTCAGGAGGTGGCAGTGTGTGGGGACAGGCCTTTAAAGAGGCATATTTGTTAAAATGAAGCCACATGGACGGGACCAAATCCAGGCCTTACCAGGTGACCAGGACACAGGTACACACAGAGGGACGACCGTGTGGGGACACAGGGAGAGCACAGCTGTCCACACACCAAGGAGGGAGGCCTCAGGGGAAACCAACCCTGCCAACACCCTGACCTTGACTTTCAGCCTCCAGGACTGCGAGGGAACAATGGCTGTGTGTAAGCCGCCCGGGCTGTAGTATTTATCTCAGCAGCCCGAGCTGACAAAGATGCCACGGATTTTATTCTGCGTGTGGAAGAAGGCGGGCTCCCGGCAGGACACTTAAAAGAGGCAGGAAAACTGGAAAACAGACCTCTCCTACTCCCCCCGCATAAGCTACGGGGGTGACATGTCCCTCCCACCTTCTCTTCCGCCCACGCACTGACGTAAAAGGTCATGTCACGGGTGGGCAGAGTGTATTGTCTCCTGTTTCATTTTTCAGCAACTCTGTTCACGAGCTTTTCCTCCACTGGGTGTGGAACTTGGGGTTCGGGGTTCTCCACGACAAGCAGCAGAGGCCTGGGGCCCCGTGAAGTCAGAAGCGCTGTGACCCGCCCCGTGTGCTGGGCAGAGAGCAGAAGCCCTCTCTCTCTCTCACATTCATGCCTGTTCTCACAGGTCCTTAGTTCTGAGAACTCTGTCTCTCCTCGTACCCATTCGGACTCCGTATGACACGTCAGGAGAGGAAATGGATGGAGAAGCAGGACTACTCCTGGAGCAGTGATTCTGCGCCCTAACAACTGAAGAAGAGAAGCATTTGGCGGCCTTCACACTTCCAAATCAGGTATCGGACTTGTTCCCCTAGACCTGCAGCCATTTCCTACGAATTCAGAGCATCCAAGAAGGCGCGCCACTGGGCAGATGGCAGTAACTCGCGCCTCCGCCCTGGTCTCCTCCGGGACTTCCTCCCCGCCGCTCATTCATCACCCACAGGCTACACTTCCCTTCTCACGCGTCTTGCTCCCTCACTACATCATAAGCACGGGCTCACGGCTGGGTCTTAATCCTTTTCTAGAAACAGCTCCTCGCACATAGTAATTGCTCAATAAAAGTTCCCTGACAGGGACTGTGGCATCTGTTCTGACAATTTGCTTCATTATCTCCGTTCTCCATTCTGAGCTTTTCACCACCAATGCAAGCTTTGGCAGACAGTAGACAAAGGCAGGAGGAGAATGTGGAATGCAGCTGTGTCCTTTCGACCGTCCTGCTTGCTGTGCTAATGTGACCTCTGGAGGTCGTGTACAGGTGCAGACGAGTCTCAGAGTGTGAAAAGAAGACCCCTTGCGGGACAGATAACTAACACTCGCCTGGGCGTGCAGAACGAGAACATCTGTTACAGCATTCTACTTATGCCTGCCTTGGAGGAAAGCTAAGTCGTTCTTGGATACAAACAGGGATTAGCTGAAATTTGTAACTGAGGGTGGTATATTTATTTTTCCTTTTGGAAGAGAGGGCCATGGAAGGGCCGATTCTCTATGACCGCCTCAACAGGAGTGCCCAGCTCACCACGGGACGGTGACTCATGGCCCCGGAGCCGGTGGGCTGCCTCGGGCCTCGCGGTCACTCCCAGCCCCGTGGTTTCTGGTTAGCCCGTCCTGACTCTGGGAGAAAAACATTTAGAACCTGTGCTTTAGAAAGTCCACACGGGGTTCGACCTGGGGCCATTACCGAGCCCAGGAAGAAGTTAGGTCGGAAAGGTTCCTTCGGAATGAGTGAGTCAGCAGCATCCGCCGAGCCTCGGGACCAGTGAGGGAACCGAAGTGTGTCCCGTGTCACTTGCTGGCTTTGGATATTACATGTGAAGTCAGCTGAGGGAATAAGCACAGTGATTGAGTGCACACGTCTTCCGGCATCTGGAATCTGATGGCACATGCAGCTACAGCTCGGCAGTTCGGTCGTAGCAAGCCCAAAATGTGGGCGCCACCCTTACAGAAATAATGATGTCTTCTCATTCAGACTGGGGACTATTTAATAGGTTCGTGTGTGGGGACAGCACAGGGCACAGACATGTGACAGAGACAAGTGGAAATTCATAGGCTTCCTGTGCTTGGTTCTCGCTGCTTCTCTTGGTGACACCACTTCTGCCCTCGGCACTTGTCGGGACCCACACTTTCCGGGCAGGCCTGCAGGTTCCTCACGGGCTCCGAGGTGCGTGGGACAGGGACAGACTGAGCCACTCACTTAGTGCAGACACTGCAACAACAGGCCTCAGGCCCGGTGGAAGGGACCAAGGGTTTGAACTGTCCTTGTCTGGGACTAAGGGGCAGCGCCAAGATGGTCGGGGCCTCTGGGCGAGAGGCAGCTCTGACTGAGCAGAGAGCGCCCTGAATACGGACGTAACCTCCTCTGTAGGGAGGTGCAGGGCCTCGGCCTGGGTGCGGCCCTCCTGAGTGTGCGCCGGCGGCAGCCTGGCCCGGCGGCCTTTGACCCGGAGCCTCGGAGGTTCTCGTTAGAAGCTGGCTCTCAATCCTGCCTGCACCCCAGACTTTTCTGGAAAGCTTTAAAGAGGCTGCTGCCAGGGCCCCACCCCTGAGATTCTGCTGGAATTTGGGTGTGGATCAGGAGCTCCCATGCATCAGGAGCTTTGCAAACCCTCTGCAGGGCTCTGCTGGGTGGTGGAGGTGGAGGGCCCCGGGCAGGTGTGGGGCGGCGCGACCTTGACAACCCGGACAGAATGAACAAGGTAGCAGAGGGGGAGGAGACCCTGCAGCCAGGCCGACCGCGGGCTACCTTCTGGCTGCACCACGCCCAGCCGCAAGGCCCAGCCGCAAGACCCAGGCCTCGGTGTGCAGAGGAACGCCCGCCAGCGGGCGCTGCAGGGAGAGAAACCTGGAATCCACGGTGCGGACACTCCCACCCAAGCCGGTTTTAAGCTACCAGTGCGACATCCACTGAAATTTGGCAGTCAGTGCCTGGAAGTGGGCTCAGAGCCCACTCTGAGTCTGGGGCGCGCGGCCCCACCTCCCTGATCCTCAGTCTTCCCACCTGTAAACTGGGGGCCATAGCGGTGCCCTCCTCACGGTGGGGTGGTAAGGGTTAAACAGACTCAGCATGAAAGGCATCCGGACAGCGTCAATGCCAGGAAAGGACTCCGATCTCGAGTCACAAGCGGGCGGTGAAGCCTGTCGCAGACGCCAGACTGAGGTCGCTTTACCACCCTGGAGCCCAGGGTGATGGGACCCCAGCCCTCCCGCCTTCAGGGCTTCCGTCGCGCTGCAGTTTGGCCAGACAGCCCCTAGAGGGCGGTGTGAGGAGCTGGAGTGGGACTGGGGGCTGCCGTTTCCTAGGGCTGGTCCTCACTGACCAGCAGAGAGAGAGGACGAGGAGAAGCCGAGCCCTGGATTTGCTGCGGCAACAAGTTCCTAGCACCGTGGAAGTTCTGCCTCCTCCCTCTTCTCTGCAGCTTGTAGTTTTCTTATCATAAGAGTAATAGATGCCGTAATTTGCAAAACTGAGCCAACACAGGAAAGGAGAAGAGAGGAGACATAAGTGGTGATCAGACACAGGCTGACTGCCGCCCACACTATTTCAGGCACGTGCTGAGCGTCCCTGCCAGCCCCTGGCGGGTCGCCGCACCTGCCCTGGGCACGCCAGCAACCCCCCACCTTTGCCCCTCCCGTGTTCCTGCCGTGGTGGCATCAGGGGTCAGGGCTCTGCCTCCCGACTTTGTCCCCGTGCCCTTCTCTCTGCCGGGTGTCAGTCTCCTTACAAAAATAGTCGTCGTGGGGACCGGAAGATGGAGCGGAAAGGCAGCTGCTCTGGAACGCAGTCTGGCAGTCCCCCGAGCGATTAGACACAGTCGCCATATGTCTCGCAGTTCCACTCCTGGGCGTCCACCCAGGAGGAATGGAAACACACGTCCACGCAAAGGCTCGTGCAGGCGTGTCCACAGCGACACCGTGCACACTCGCGGGGACGTGGAAACCGCCCCACGTCCACAAAACGCTCGATGGGGAGACAGTGCTGCTGCGCCCACTCAACAGTGGGACGTTCTCCGGCCAGAAAAAGGTGCGACGTTCCGACACCTGACACAACGCACATGAACTTCAATTTTAAACAAAGAGGAGTGACCGAGGCCAGACACAGAGGGCCACGCGCCGCGCCACGTGGCCCCGCAGTGTGAATGTCTGGAACCGGGGCTCCGCAGAGTCGGGGCGCCGGTGGGTGGTCACTGGGAGCCGGGGTGGGGAGGGGGCTGGGCACAACGGCGAAAAGCACAACGTTTCCTGACTGGTGATGGGCACACACTCCTGGGTCAAGGCCAAAAGCCCTGAGTCACACGTCGCCAACGGGCGGACTGCACGATGTGTGAATTTTATCTCGGGAAAACTGTTAACAAGCAGCTGTCGGAACGTGTAGGAGGTTCCGAAGTGCCCGTAAAAGAAAAAAAGAAACCTCCCATCAGCCCAAAGGAGGGGAGCGAGTCCTGATGTAGCAGCAAAACTACCACGGAGGCAGGAGCTGGGCGTGGGCACTGGGGGGAGGGCAGGAGGGACGACCCAAGGCCGCATCCCAGAAGTCTCCCTCTCACAGGGACCGGCAGGCGCTCGGCCAAGGTCAGCCCCTCCTCCCGACACTACCTCAGGGTCCTTGCACCCGTGGGGGTCTGTCCCCCTTTGCTCGTGACGGTCACTCGCTGCAGCTCCATTTGCGGAAACACAAAACCTGCCCCGTCTTCCCTCACCTCTTCCCCTGTGCCTGCCCTGCCGTGGGGCCAGGGGAGGCACTAAGGACACCTGATAAATACGCACTGAATCTTGAATGTTCTCAGTGCAGGGGGGGAAGGCACGAGCGACCTACACAGAAGGAGACCCCCCGAGTCATGGAGATTTGGATTTGGAGTTCGTTTTCTTTCCCCCGGCCTGCCTCCCCTCCTGGGGTTCGTTCACATGACTGAATTTATACTGTGGAGCAGGGCACCATGCCTGTCCCTTCCTTCTGCTTGAGGCTGGATCCGACCCCGCTCTCCCCGGGAGGGGCCAGGAGTGGTCCTTGCTGACCGGCACGGCGCCAGCCAGACTGGGGGTCACCAGCCACACGAGGCTGTTCGCAGGACACTTAAACCAATGGACACAAAGCCACATCAGAGCCCAGCTCTTCGGGGCGCCAGCCCTGCACGTGGGCTGGGGTCCCATGAGGCAGCGTAGAGCACCTCCGCCGTCCCCGGGAGTCCTGTTGGACCAGCGGGTCCCTCGTCCGGGCGGCTCTGCCCCCCAGGGGACACTTGGTGATGTTTGGAGACCCCACAACTCGGGGAGGACAGTATGGCAGTTAGTGGGTGGAGGCCCAGGACGCAGCTCAGGACAGCCCCACGAGAGGAAGGTCCGCAGGCTGAGGTGGGCCCCCCGCGGTTCCCGGGGCACAGCCTGCCCCAGGCAGCAGGGGCAGGAGAAAGAAGCGAAGGGAAATGCTTTCGTTTAAGAATCCGGTATAAACACAGCAGGTGCGACAGTGACCCATGGGGTCCACCGGACAGTGGAACACGCTTCCGCCCTAGAAAGGCAGGAATCCCGGCCCTCCCTGCAGCGCGGAGGGACCTGGAGTGACGCCGGCCAGATGCGAGAGGACAAACCCTGCGATCCCACTAAGAGGCATCAGATTCTCGGAGACAGAAAGTAGGTGGTGGGCGCCGGGCATTGGGGGAGGGGCAGGGACTGGTGTTTCGTGGGGACAGAGCTTCCGTTCGGTGGCGGTGGTCGCACAACAGCGTGCATGCGCCTGATGCCACTGGACTGTGTGCTTAAAAATGGTTAAAATGGTCGGTTTTATGTTACGTGTATTTTACCAAAACAGAAACAAACAGAGTCGCAAACACAGGAGCCGGGAAGGGGCGTGCGAGCTGAAGCGCAAGGATGCCGGCAGGTCTCAGACACGGTCACAGCTCTCCCTCCCGCCTCCTGCCCGCCCGCTTGTCCCCAGCCAAGCTCGGACCCCCTACCAGGTACGGTTTCTTCCCACCAAGCCCCCCGGCCCCGCTGCCGCAGCAGGGCAATCCCCCGGGAGGGGGTGGGGGCAGGTGAAGGTGCACCAGGAATTCTGGGAAAAGGCAGGGTGGCCGCTCCTCCTGCTCCGCACCTCTGTGTCCACGCCCACGCACGTACCCGCAATGAGATACTCCTTCTTTCCTCCGACGTCCAGCGAGACCCCGCAGATGGCGGAGGAGGGGGCCGTGTAGATAAACTCGATGTCCTTGTCGGGTCCTTTGAACATCTGGAGGACAAGGACGAGGAAAGGTAAGCGGAGGGGCTGTGCAGCCAGCGGGGTCCATCCTGCCCGGGACTGGGCGGGGGTCCCCCCTGTACTGAGACGTGGCCAGGAGACCCCCATGCCGACTGCTCGGCAACGCTCAGCAGTCGCTCACCGCTTCGTGTGGCGCTGTCCGCAGGCTGGGGGGGCATTGCCTCCTGCAGGGACCCCTCTTGGACACCACTGTACTCTCCATGCTACAACCAGGTCACTTCAGAACCTCTGTGAGGGGCTTGTGTGTCTCTGGTGACTGTGCCCATCGCGGAGGACCACTGCTTCGAAACCCACCCCACGAGAGCACAGGCCCAGACGGGCATCACGGAATGTTCCGCAGACGCCCTTCCTGTCTGCTCCAAGGATGGCTGGACTGTCCAGGAACCCAGTGGTACCCCAAGACGGGGATGAGGGGACACTTCCTCTGGTATCTGGCCTCTGGGGACCCACCCTCTCCCCCCACCCTCCCACAGCTCGGCCCACCGGAGGGGGCAGCCCAGCGACCGGTCCCTTACCTTGATCTGCTTGATCTCGTACTCGATCCTCTTGATGGGGTTGCCGTAGATGTCGTTGCCCGACCCCACCTCCTTCTCGCCGACCACCTTGGCCCTGATCACTGCAACACAGACAGACGCAGAGGTGAGCTGAGCCCTCCAGCCTCCGTCCTGGCTCCAGGGACAGGGGACGGGTGGGAGGCAAGGGGCACGAGGACTGAGGCCCCAGCAGAGCCCTGGATGCTGCACCGGAGCCAAGCGGGCAGGCCAAGCGGTAGCACCGCGATGCCTCCTGGCTCTGGGATTCTTCAGTGAAGGGCCCAACAGACCCCTAGGCCCGCTGCCGGTTTCAGGGTGGACACCGACCAGAACAAAGGCCTCTGTGGCCCCTGGGGCTGATGTCTTGGGGCCTTCCCATGCTCCCCCAGGTGCCCGCCGTGGTGGCGGGGGGAGAGGGGAGCAAACAGACCAGCCCGGGTCCCGTTCACATGTTTGGATGCCGAGACTCTCCCACCTGCCATCCATCTGCCGCCCGCTGGCAAAGGCCTTTCCAGGCTGAACTGGAGGGCTAGGGGCCCACCTCCCAGGGGCCCCGTCCCAAGTAGGTCTGGGGGCTTGAGTCTAAAAGGTCTCCCCTGGTCCACTGCCTTCCTAATCTGTCCTAAATGTGTCACGGAAAATGCCCTGTGGACAGTTCTTTGGCATAACTAACATTCTGTCCTGAGAGAGATGGAAGGGGCAGAGCATTCTGACCGAGAGGATGTTGACTGGGTGTGGGAGCAGTCACGTGGCCCAAGGGACACATGCCCAGGAAGGAGGCCAGGAGGAAAGACGGTCCTGGACCAGGACACGGGATGAAGGACAGGGGAAGAGGTCAGACTTCCTCCCAGCCCTCACAGGGCCGGGGCCCCGCTCCACCTGGTCACCTGACAGCAGCCCACGTAGGTGGCTTGCACCGCCTCCGGACACAGCCGCCCTCTTTCCACTTGGAGGCTTATCAGCTGGTGCCACAAACCGTGTTAATGGCTTTAAAAGCTTTGCCCTGAAAATTGCAACTGTGCAGGGTCGCTCTGGGGAAGTGTCACCCTGGTGTGGACGTGAGGGAAATTAGAAATAAGGAGCAGACAGCTCCCCGCTGAAGGGAGCTTCCCACCTCCATCCCTCCCTCCACCCCAGCAGGCAGCTCGGGTCTCAGGAGCTGCTGGCCGAGGCTCCCTGTCCCCACAGAGCAGGGAGGCCCAGGGACCTGGGTCCACCTTCTGTGCCCACCGTCCTGGACCCCAGACGGGCCCTCTGAACCTCGGCCTGGCACCAGAGCCCCCACCAGGGCCCCAGCACGCCCGCCCAGGCCAAAGCCAGTCTTGTTTCCTCTGTTGGAGCTGAGTCACGACCGGCCCAGGCCACAGGTTCCTGTTTCCCAGACCAAGCCAGGCCCCGACCTGCAAAGTCACATCTAGGAAACGCCACCCGCTGGGCCACCCCTGAACAGTGGGCTCTGCTCTTGGTCGCAGGTCACCCCGTTTCCCACACCCGCTCCTACCCCCAACACCAAGCATCTTTTCACAGTCCCATCCCTTTGGGCTCAGCCACATCGGCTGCTCGCTGCCCTGCCTGAACTAGGAGACGCTCTGCAACCTGGTGCCCAACGACCGCTATGCCAGCAGCTGCCCCGGCGGCCCCTGCTCTGCAGTTCCACTGGTCCGCGTTGTTCCCTCAAGCCTGGGCCTGCCCCGGGCTGTCCCCACCTCCGGAGACAGACCTTTCTTCTGTGTGCCACCCTCTCCACGCTGCCGGGGAAATGTCTAACCCTTCAAAACCCGGCTAGAATCGCCCTTCCTCGTCCCCTCCCGCCCAGGAAACGCTGGCCCGTGGCACGCCCTGCACCGCTCGGCCGCCCCGCGGAGTGGGCCTGTCCGCCTGCCTGCTCAGGGGCCTGGCACCCCGAACAGGCCCGGGTCAGCTCCTGTCCAGACGGGAGGAAACATGTGCTGGACCCGTGGGAGGCGGGTCGGCAGCCGGGGGAGGGTCGTCCAGGGTCCCTCTCACCACCTGCCTAACCTGCACCTGGTGGCCGCCACGCCACGCCCACAAGGGTTTCTGCCGCTCCGTCACTGTAGCAGAGTCACCGTCCTAAGTTTTCTGTGGCATCGTCACCAGCTCACAATGCAAATGAACCAGGGGCAGCCAGAAGGTGACTGACGTGCTGGAAGGGACAAGGCTGCCGGCCGGGCAGGGTGCACCTGGCTCTGCACCCTCGTTGGGACTCGGGACCTGCTCTCCAGAGGCCTGCTGCCTTGCAGCCGCCTGAGACACAGCAGGGGCGCAACAGGAGACACCCCGCGGCGGCCGGAAGAGTGGCGGCCGGGAGGCTCCGGGGCACTCTCTGCGCTGCGGCCTGTGCATTCTTCTCCTGAAGCAGCCCCCAGCGCACCCAGGTGGTCTGAGCGATCGCCAAAAAGGGGCCCCACACGCCACGTGGGCTCAGGGAAGGCCACCGTCCTGAGATGAAGCCCTGCGTCTGAAACGCAGACACAACCCCCGGTGCCTGCCTCCATGGGGCGGGGTGAGGACGGGATTTGTGGCGTGTGTGACACGAACCCGACACGCAGCCACGTCTAGTTCAGGCCAACAGAACGGAACAGACTGTGGAGGGGGACCGAGGAGACCTCACTCCCTCCCCGGAGCGACAGCTGAGTCCCACTCGCCTCGTTTCAGTCGGCTGATACCCCAAGTTTGTGTTCGTCACAGCTCCTGGACGTAGCGCTCGGTCTGGAGGCTAGAGACCGTGCACCTGCTTTCTGCAAACTGTCAGCCCAGGAGAGGACCTGGGTCGGCAGGACCCCCACTCAGCTGGTCCGCGTGGAACAAGAATTCAGATTCTTTGGGGTCTCCCTGAACCCGGCACAAGAACCTCCTCCCCACTTTGTAAAACAAGAGCTAATGGGAATCAAGTTAGGCAGAGAAGAGCCAGTTCTGGGGAGACCACCCCGAACCATCAACACCTTCCAGCCACACAGCAGAGGGCTGGCCACACTCCCGTCCTGACGGTGCCAGGAATAGGCCATCTGGGGTCAGCACTCTGGGTGGGGAGCGCACATGTAAAGCTTTGGAAACGGACTTATCCCAGGCCAAGGATCCCTCGGGTAACGGGAGGAGGCTGATGGAGGCGTGAGGGCAGGCAGGGGTGGCGTCACGCCGGCCCCCAGCCAGCTCCGACCCTGGCCTCCTGGATGGTCTTCTATGCGGGACTCAGAGCTCGGGTGGGGCCGCCCCTCGAGGGCACACTGGACTAGCGCAAGCCTCGCAGGTGGTCCCGAGGCTGAAAGGGGGGAGGTGTGGGTGCTTCTGCAGTCACAGACCCTGGGAGCACCCAAGTCTGGCAGGACGACGGGCGATGGACCAGAACACGGGCAGTGCTGTTTCCAGCCGCCAGCGGTGGGTGAGGAGGGAGATGAGGAGAGCCTTCCAGAAACACTCAGCGTGTCCTACACCCAAGGTGACCGGTGTCCCCGGGAGCTCCAGGGAGGAGTCCTCACTGGGTCTCAGGACCCTTATAGAACGGGGATGGGGAAAAACACAGGGACCCAAAGAACTTTCTGGGAAGAAGTCAGGATCCAGGTCAGATCCAGATGCATGCCCACTGAACACCAACTATGCATTGGGTCTGGTTTCGGGGCCTGGGGTGGCAGATGGGCTCCTGTCCTGCCCCCTGCCCCGGAGATGCAGGTTGCTCTGCTCCACCAACCCCCCCGCCCCCCCACTGCAGGAGCCAGAGGAAGCAGGAGCGAGAGTCTTCGTATAGGTTTGAGTTCTGCTTTGCTCCCCGGAACGGTGGCCTCTCCCTGGGCTGCTCACATGTTGTTTTTTCTCCTTTCCATTCTGCCGCTCACACATCTGGGTTTGAGATCAAGGGTGACCCACTGGCTGATGCAGTTGCCGCCAGATGTCCGCTACTGGAATGCACCGCCGTCCGCTCAATTCAAAGCACACGCAACCGCAGCCCCGCCCCCACCCTGGGCCGTGGACACCACATGAAGTCACTTCCCCCAGCTAGGAGCCTGCAAAAACAATCCCCCAGGCAGCCGCCAGATCGGGGGTGGGAAAGAACGGGGCGGGTGGAAAGTCGAGACCACGGACGGCGGTCCAAAGAACCCAGGCTCCGTTTAGACTGCGGGAGGTGACGACCGCCACGGGAAAACCCAGCGGAGGCCAGACTGCCCACTGCCGTCCTGAGGGGTGGGGTCAGTGAGGGGCCTTGCTGGAAACCTCGGTGTCCCCACCACATAATGTGGCTTGGGCCAGCCCGGGCTGAGATTTGTGTGTCCCCCTGCCCAACACCCACCCACATGGCTAAGCCCTGCCGTGTCTGGGGACACTCCAGGGGAGCCGAGGAGACGAAACGCAGGCTGTGTGGCTCACGGAAGTCTTTATTGTCCCGCCACAGGCCCCGCTGCTCTGGGGGGACCCCACGTGACATTCACAGGAGTGGGCCCCCAGGGACTTTCCTGGCAGGCATGTGCTCCCAACCCCCCAGGCCAGGTGAACCTGTGAGTGTGGATGAGTGACTCCCCGTCACGCCCTGTCCCCAGGCCTGCAGCACGCCTGGCGCCCAGCCCCCAGGGCCTGCAGAAGCAGGGCTGCTGGTGGAGGGAACAGTCACGTTCACCCAGACCACGTGGGAGAGCCCCAGGGTTCGGAAAACATCCGTCCCAGGGAAGGCCCCGATCATCTGAGCCTGGCGGGCATGCTGACTCAGCCCAGCGTCCCAGCGCCGGCACCGTCCCCTCCCAGCCCACCTCCTGTGGCCTCCAGCTCCGACCCAGGAGGTGCATGTGGGCAGAGACAGGGTGTTCTTGGGTCTTGGTCTCAGTCCTTTGGAAAATTCCCAGAGGTCCCTCTAATGAGGGGCCCACACCATGCGCCCTTCACAGCAGGGAGGAGGACAGGGGCACCTGCGACTGGCTGGCACATTTGCCAAAGCCCCTGCTGGCCCTTGTCTGAGTGGGGGGGCTGTCCTGCTGCTGTGACTGGAAGGACAGGTAGCCGGGAGCACTGTGGGCCTAGGTTTCAGAGCAGGGGCAGCTGTGTGTGGTCACAGGGGCCACCGGCCACAGAGGACCAC